CTGATGTTGTTCCATAATTGGAACCCAACTAGAATAGAAAATAAAAACAAACGGTGAAAGACACCGGCGCATCTGTATTTATAAAATTATTTGCAGGGCTAACGTGTTGAAACAATCCATGTATATGCTTAAATGTATATTTAGGACACGTCGGATGGACAGCAGAAAATGGCAACCACTGCCACCCAGTGCACACTCCCACTACACCCTTCCGTGGCCGCCTAATTCGGACGGAGAGCGGTGAAAAGGGGCCTTTCCCGTCATCCCCGAGTGAAGTGCGGCAACGGCGCCTCGCTCCGAATCAGCTTGTCAGGCACAGCGAGACATAAATAAGTATAATCATTTTTTCAGAGGGAGGGATAATGTTTGCCGGAGAGGAGATGCGTGCCAACAACGTACTCTTGGTTATTACAGCTGTTCGCCGGGAGGGTGGCACTTTTTTTCGCTCTTCCCGGCCAAATCAAAAGTGCGTAACCTCAACATTTGGAGCAAACCTTTGCTGGCAGCAAACTAAACAAAACGTTTCTCATTTTTCACAACTTTTCCTCTCCAAGGGTGACAACAAAGGCAAGAGAGTGAACAACTCAGGGTTCCAGCCAATAGTAGAGGGGTTGAAAAGGGCAACTTTATAGCCGGAGTTTCAACGTCCCACAACACATTTACTCCACACCCACTTAAGTTTCGGAAATCTGAAAATACTTTCTGGCGGGGCCCATAAATTCCCGGACTTGCTGCAGTCCATAAAATATTTCGAGTAAAGTTAATACCTTCTATATATATGCACTGAAAAGTTTTTCAAAATCTGGGAGCTCTTAATGAGCTGAATATATGACAAATACTCTTAATGGCTCAACAAACGCTTTGATGCCCTGTGCTGTCATGTCTTCCAGCTGGATTTGTAAAGATTTTTTAGAAAGGGAACAGAAAATTGTATAGAACTGCATTTAACTCGATTTTCATACTAATTAAAAAACAATTATGAGCGGAATTATCGAAAACTAGCAGCGGAGTTGCCATCAGAGTTGACAAACCGCTTTTCAACTGTAGGAAATGGGCAAAATATAGGCTGAAACGGCTCATAAAACAGCAAATTGCGACTGCATGATGATGTCACTGGACCCCCCTTTCCTCTATCTCCTCGGCTTTCTCCACATCCCCAATGAAAGTCGCATTCCTGTGGCTGCTGCAATGCAACTAATAATAAGTCAGCCAAGAGGCCATTAAGTTGGGGCAAAATTCTATTGAACCGCCAGCAGTTGCAGCTCTTCCTCTGGCCCGGAAAACAGGAAAATGAGATGGCTAAACACAGAAAAAAAAATACGATCTTCAAGATCAGTCAATATATTTCTTATGAGTAAATAGAATATTTAATTATGAATTGTTTTTATACAAATCAAATACTCATTTAATTTACTTGAATTGAATTTTAATCTTACTATAATGTAATTTATAAAAATAAACCAACTCAAATGGGTGGATAGAAAATATTTTTCTAGGTGTGGGTACAGAATTTTTTTTTAAACAAACGCCGCGTGTGATCAGCCTCAATCGTCGAGGTATCATAACACACATGCTCCGAAGAGGGCGCAGAAAGTGTCAGGAGGGGCACATCAATCATTTGTAATTACAGGCAGGCGGCCTTCTTCCATCTTCAGAAAGCTCCAGCCTCCCATTTCGGCTCCTTTTTTCCATTCTTTACCATTTGGCTTTGTGTGGAAACGGAAATAGTTTCTCCTCGCACAGGGTATGGTTCAGTGATCTCTCGGATGATCTCTGTCATATTTACGAGTGCTCTGAGTGCCAGGCAGTGCTTCTAATCTCTGACGAAATTGTTTAAGGAGAGATTTTGGCGATAGAAATGCATACATATAAGTAAATTGTGACCCAGTTGATAAGTGGCTCTAGTTCTTTAACAGCTATGCAGGCATACATGCGTTTAAGTGCACAAATAAATAAGCAAAGAAAGATGCTTGTAAATATGCACTTGGAACGCGAAATAAGACCTTTAAACGGTGTCAAAGTTTTTGTTGCCAAAATGCCCTGGAAATTCCCAAGTCTTAATTTTGCGACAGTAATTCGGCAAGTAATTAGATACCGGCAGAGGGCCCGGCAGAGAAATTTTCTGGCTCGAGGAACAGTACCAGTTTTTCCACATTATTTTCTAAGTGCGTTCTAAATTAAAGTTACGTGGCAAATGATTATCCCTCACCCTGATGATTTTAAGAAGATAAGACTGGCATTTGCGTGCTTTTTATAATACACCAGATGGCAGGACTTATATACAAATATATCTTATAATGTTCATACTTAATAAAATTTGAAAAATTGCTCACTGAGAAGACAACAAAGGGGTCATGGAGAGCAGCTGAGAGCAAAGGCCGTTCCATAATTTTATCTACGTTTGTCATTTGATTCGCACATACCTAAATTGCTTGCTTCCTGTTTATTTGTTTTTATGTTACACGCCTTTCCAATTTTTTTTTTATTTTTTTGTTTTCGCTGCACTGTTATGTGCCCAGCTGTGGCCACTTGTGAACTTTAAGCTCCATTACAGTGTTCCCTGTGTGTGAGCTGAATTTCAATTGAATCGAATGAAATGGCAAATTAAATGCGTCCGACTGCAGCGGAGACAGGAACAGCCACATAGCCACTACACTCGGACTTCCCCATAGCGGAGGAGAACGGAGGCCTGTGTAATAAATCTTATTCGTGACTTAAGTCTGGCTCTAAATACTAAAACATGTTTCGCCTGCAGCGCCCACCAAAAAATAAGCAGAATACAAGAAACCAGCAATAAAAGTAAAATATGGCGCAGAAATGTTTTTAATCAATTTCAATTGAATGATGACCCGCACAATCAACGCAAGACGTCACCGAAAGCTTGAATCTTTGAGGTCTCTCGCAAATATTTGCTCTGGCGGCTATAGCTTGAGCATAATGTATTTTTGTAGTATACGAAATCTTGTTTTCAGATCTGTTTAGCACATTACAAGAATATTTGATATCTGTTTTGCGATTTGCTTGATTCCTCCGTTCAATTTCATTTGCTTATTTGGAATTCCAGACAAGCCCGACATCACACAATTCCCATTAAGTGTTATTCTTATTCGTGTTTCATTTTTTGATCTGATCATCACGCTACCAGAAACCTTATCATTTTAGTTTTTTATGTGGCTCATGAAGACAATTATTTTTTATTTATAGCTTGTCCGCTTTTAAGATTCATATTTATATTTATTTTATGGCATATGTGGGTTTTATTCAATCTACATTTTATTGTCTAATTTAAATTTCGCTTATGGGCACACCTGATACATTTTTAAGAAGCATGTAGGGAGACAATCACCTAAATTGGTCAGACTGATAACTTAAATGGAAGCCACCTAATGTATATTTTTAGCAAAACCGAAATCTATATATGACTATCGACGGGTCAAACAACTGGCCTTCTTAATTGAGTCCAACTCGAGCTAAGATACCCAATTGAAGGTAACATCAGCTAACCGATATAGTAAAAACAACGACAATAAACTTAAATAACGATTTAGAGTATGCTTTACAATAAGTGTTTAAATTTGTACAATCGAGTACGGTATTACTTTGAAGTAAAGTGTAAATAATATACTTAAAGTTATAATAAATATTACTACAACTGCATCTCTTATATATGCACCAATCAGTCATAAATGCCCTTCATAAAATCATGTAGTCGGGAAATTACCCACTATGCGGATAAGAAAAAAGCTCATCTAGTGCTCGCTGGGGCTGACTAATTCCACAATCTGACCCACTGACGGTGCACAGGCCTCTTTACCTCCCCCACAAGTCCACGATACTGTTTCCCGGACAAATCGAGGCAATGAACCGTCAGACTATTCCTCCCCCGCACAACCCGCACTCACAAAGATACAAATGTATCTACACAGACGTAGAGTCGGGTAAATATAAAAATGCAAACAAACCTCAAGCACAATGAAACCGAAAGCAAAAGCCAATGTAAATGTAACGCAAAAGCAATTAAAAATTCATAGAAATGCTCTGTAAGTCCACTGCAGCAGCCGCAACGAGAGAAATGGGTAAAATTGTAGAGCGGAAGAATGTGTCAACAGAGATAAGAAGCGAAGAAAGCAACTGATTCTGAAACACTTTACAGAAAGGGTTCTATTAAAAGCCGTTTCACTTATCATTATTATATAAAATTAAAGAAAAAACAATAAAGAAAGCAGCAGTAAAGTGTGTGCCACTGTGAGATAGCCTGTATCCAACACATTAATGATTATATGTATTAAAAGAAAGAAAAACTCCTTTCTTTACAAATAAACTTAACAAAATAAGCCCAAAGAATATATGTTAAAATGAAAACGTTTAATTTTAGATCGCTCAGTATGAGACCACGCTTCGAGACCTTACTAACTACTTAGTTAACTATAACATTTTAACATTTTTTTATTAATATTAACCTCTGCAAAATGTAATATCAGAATTTTTGGGATGTACCACTCTTATCCCACCTTGTTAACAGCTATTTTTGTAGTCTTGTTTTGTGTTGTATTTATAGTCTATACATCCGATCTTAAAACATTTTTGATAGTACTTTCAGTCATAAATTTATTACGTATGTATGTACATACTTTTTGTACTATAGATTTGTTTATTCCCTCATTTGTGGGGGCAGAGGTTGTGGCCATATATGTTTACAGCTTATAGAGGTGCGTTCTTTGGCCTATTGTATATTATTTTGATTGGCACAATATCCTTTTCAACATTTTTGGGAATAGTAGAATACATTACAAAACCAAAAAATTAATGTAGTCTGATTTTTGAAATTCATAATAATTGAATTTTGGAAATCAAGTATCTTGGAAGATACTGAATAAATTGGATTGAAAATGCTTCAAGAGCCCATTAATCTGTAGCTTCCGGATCCCGCCTATTCAACCGATTTGGAATGTACTCTAAACCATATATTATAAGGCCAAAACTAAAATGCAATTACTCACCGAAGAGGGCAACAGCTGCGTACAGCATTAGCCATTTGAGGCGTCCGTTGGGCATATTCATATCGTATGCCTGGTTTCCGCTCTTCCGCGGGTTGTGTAAAGTTGGCAAGGGAGGGTTGGGCTTATCGATTTTATGCAAAAGTCCACAGAGAGACACCCTTGGCTCCTGTTTAAACACACACGCGATATATCTGAAACGAAAATAACGTAATTCTCCATTATTTTATTGTTTTATTTTTGGTATGTTTAAGTCAAGGAAGTGGTTATATTTGCCTGATTTAAAATTATTTAAGTAAAAAAATAAAATATTAGTTTGAACAAACTAAATTTCAAGAGAATAGGAAAAGAAAAATAAATGTATTTTCACTCTTTACTCCCTCGAACCATCCTATATTGTGAAAACTATCAAAGAACCATTTTCCTATAGGCAAAGCGATTAGAAAACGGAATAAAAAATAAAGAGAAGTATCAAAGAAGGAAGAGGGAATCGTGGAAGGAGCAGACTACGGATGGATGTCATTAATTAAACCACAAATGGCCAATATGTAGGGGGAGGAGTGATAGCAACAGCTCCGACAACTTCATTTTTTGCCTTCTGCTATCCATAAAATGTCACGCGCCCTCTTCCCCCACCGCCTCCTCAGCCCAGTTTGGAGGCGAAAAAACACACACTTTATGACAGGCAGGAAGTCACGATTCCACATTTCTGTCTATTTGCCCCGATCTCCTCGTTGTCTGTAGCTTGACATCGGCCCCCCGAGACCCAGCGTCTCCGCATGGCCAGCGACTTATTTTAATCCATGAGATAGCCCCAGATTGTTCAATACACACATGCATATAGAAATAGATTCAACAGCAAATTGCTTGGCTTTTTAACGCTTAATTAACGCTTAAGTGGATTCCAGCATTTGCGCATGCCACAAATTGTTGACGAAGAATGAATTTAATTTTTTATTCCACATTCAATTGAAGTCGGATCTGGCAGCCAGATAGCTAAAGCCGTACTATCTGCGGCCTTATGCTAGGTTTTCTCTGAGGGTTGCGCAGGCGTAGAGCAACCGTATCCCCGCACGTGTCCCTCTCACAGAGGGGGTTGGTGGAGGTTCAGCTCTAACGATGTTAGCTTTTCAATTGGCCTAATGGCCTAGCCGTCATTCACAGCGAGGGTTAGCTGCGAGTTCATTACTTTCGAGACAAACAGCTGCGTCGCACTCTTTGGGGTGGCCCAAACCTTTAAAGAGGGCTTGGATATAACGCATAGGGTATATATTTCCTAAAGCCAAAACGCTCCCTTTCTCTATTATTATATCTTTATTTAAGCTCTAATAATACAAAAGATATTCTCAATACTTTAAAGTATATTCTATATTACTTTTCCATGCTATAATCGTTCTACTGCCAGTTCGTACGTTTTCAAGCCATTCAATTGGCTGCTTAATTCATAAATAGACAATGTATATTCCATATGAAGCTTCTAAATAATTTACTAGTTAAAACTAAAGGTCTTTCCAATCTCTTTTAAATATAAATATTATATAAACTATTTTATTTTTTATTTTATTAATGCCATAGAAACGATAAGAGCCTATTTTATAATTTATTTCCTTTTAAACAGAATCCTTGGTCTTATTTAAATAGCTATAATAAATATATTTTAAGGAACATAACTTAGAAAAAACTAGGCAAACATATAAATTCTTGGTTTTACTTATGTTGATTTAAAGTAGTCCAGTTCGAACTAATTTATTGCAATATTTGGGTTAAGGTCTAGGATATTTTTGATTAATTTAGATATATATTTTTTTTGTTATAATAAAACAACATTTTTTGTCATTTTTCAATACACTATGAGCCCAAATAGAAAGCAATGAGACAGTTTAAATAATTTTCTGAAACGCACTGTAATTACAAATAAATGATTCATTTCTACATCTCTGCTGTAGTAATTTTCGGTTGAAAAAGTTCCTTTCCCATCTAGACAAATGATTCTGCGATTTTTAAAATGAAACAATTTAGAAAACATCTGGTAATCAGTCAACGGCTCCAGCCGTCTATATAGGCAACAGACTTTATACATGCATGTGCTCATACATTTTTATATATCCATAATACATATAACCAGTCAACCCCTCCATGAGCGGATACGTTTGGTCAATCGCGTGGTAAAATCAACGAATCAAAAGCACTTTTTGTATTACTCACGCTGCTGTTTTCTGTTCTTTTTCGTTGGTTTGTCTGTCTGCTGAATGTGTAACTAAAAATTGGGGTGACGAACCAATAAATTTAGCAAAGGGTGCAGGGGCCTATGGGGACTGGAGTGCAGTGTCCCAGTGCAGGGTCGTGGTCGTCGGTGATGGAGGACTGCAGCATTGTCCAGTTTCCGAACGGCATGGTGATCCATTCGGGACCAGAGTTTTCCGCACTGCGACCCTAATTGAGATTCAAGAGCCCTCGGCGGCGGCAGAATAAAACAAAAGGCAATATTTATTCGCTCTTTCACTCTTTGGCCAGCCTTTGTTCAGTTTAACCTTTTCCGCTGTGTCATGTTTGTGTCCAAGTGGAAATCAATATTTGCCATCGGAACAGCCGATGAACGTTCATCAAATCGATGAGAGCAAGCCACTAGTAAATAAACTTTTATTTTTGCAAGGTTTATAAAAAGAATATGTTATTTTGAATTTATAGGGAATTAGTTAACCAAATTGAACGTTTATTGCAAATATAAATATTTTATATGCGTGTCCATTAAAGTTCCTGGCATAATTCACATCCTGTAAATAATTTCCAAGTTATTTTATGCTAGCGAGAAGCTGGACCTACATATAAGTATACATTTATATGCAGATCTAAACTATATTAATATAAACTGTAGTAATCAAACAATTAATAAACAAATTCGTATCGGTTTGAGTAGAATTTGGAATTTTCCCACAATGTTTGCATTAGTTTTTGCAAGCAGACAACTGCCCACGTGAAAGATTGGCAACTAGCCCAACTTGTGGCAGAGTACCGCCTGGCAACAGGATGAAAAACTCCAGGAAAACAGACAGAAAAATAATACGGAAAATTCATAGGGAAGGAGCGCAACACTTGCGAAATCAAATAGAGGAAACTCAAGCGCACCAGCGGCAAAGATGACGAGGGCAGCTGCATGGGATTTCAGAGATGCCTGTGTCCTTAAGCAGGGGTTGAACCGACACATACACTCAAAGTGTCCTTACAAAGAAACACTGCGTATGTGTGCCACATGGAAACTGCGAGGGATTTTAAAAGATGCTTGAAAATAAAGTGCCCCGAGTTGGGAAAACTACCTGACGGAGACAAAGGACCAAGCAGCAGGCCGCAGGAGGCACAGGTTGCACACACACACACGCAGGCCAACGAATACAACGGTAATCGCAGAGTTGCTTTCAGGCGCTGCAAAGAGCGCATGCGCCGAAAAAAAATTTGCTGAAAAATTCACGTACCCAAAAGGTTTTCCATCTAAAAGCAAATTTATAAATGAAAACAATGGCAAACTGACTGGAGATAGCCTGCGTATGAAACAGTATATTTCAAATTTACTATTTTAGCATTTTCTTGGACCCCTAAGCTGAGTTTTCCTCCCCCAATCGCTGTAAATTTTCACGCCCTTTCGCATGTGTATGTGAAGCAGCGCGGAAAGTAACAATTTTCGCACTTAACTTAACCCGGCGAAAAATCAATAGAAGCTGTGCTGAAATCAGGATATTTTGAAACTCAAGTCAGGAGATTCATAACGGTATCGATGGAAATGGGGAGCAAAGACGATTTTGCAATGATCTTCCATGCCCGACAGAGCACCTTCAGTCAGTGGGCGTGGGCAGGACCAACGCATACAAGCAAACCCAGCCTATACATACACGCGGCTGTCACAAAGAAGTTGCCAGACAACGGCGAAAAATACGAATATTTTGAAAATTGCCAAGCGAAATTTGCCAACATTTCTTACCGTTAACGCTCGGTTTAGAAAATTCGATGGTTAATTTGTAGTTAATTGTTGTTTTTCGACACTAACACACACGCAGTGAGAGTGGTGGGCAATTTGCAGCAGGGTGCCACTAATCCACGGGGGTGGCGACTCCGCACAAAAGCACCGCACACACAAACACAGACACTTTGCTCTGCTCTTTGCCGTTTATCGGATGCCTTGCATACTATAATTTATTTTATTTCACTCGAACGCACAGCGAGCCACCACGACCGGCTGGTGGGGCGGGATGTGGGGGTGTTGGTCGCGAACCGCTTCCGTATATCCGTGTCCCAAACAACGCTCACACGCATACACACGCACGCTCTCGCAATTCGCCGACTGACGCGGATTCCGGTTCTCGATCGCTTGACGGTCCAAACAAGACTGAACTCGAATGAGAAACACCGCTACGCCAACATCCGTCAGCCGGCCATTTTGCGGCTCACACTCGCTCTCTCTTTAGCGCTCTTCCACTCTCTCGGAAACCATGCTTAAAGAAGGGGCAATTGTTTGGGAAATTTTTAGGGATTTTTATATTGCACTTGTTGATATGAGATTTTGTTAAACAACCAAAAATGATTATATTTCCTATAAATTCATAAAAAAAAACATTATAATTTAATTAAAAAAAAAACATTAATTAATAACAAAAATAATATACATAGATATGTCCCTCTTTGGTGCCTATGAGCTGTCAAATGCCGTTCGAAACGGAATCCACAAAGACAATAAATATTTACGTAAATGTACCGACAAAAAATAAGAGTACAACAGCAACACATTAGTTTTTTCTTTTTTTGTGAATTTTTATAATATTTTTTCAATTTATCTGAATTAATTTAAAAACTTAAAACTCAGCCACAATATACATTTTTATTTTTCAAAGGCCGCTTCCCAGGTCTTGTGTCCACCGCAAGCACTTCTATTTACTCAGAATTAGGAAAATTTGTTATGATTATAGAATTATGAAAATTTTGCATTTTGCAAACAAAGAGAACAAAATGTTTGTCAGCTTTAATGCAAACAATATTACAGAAATTTCTGTTTCATCTCTAATACATTAACCAAATTTGCAGAAATCACCCTTAAATCTAATCTCTGCTGTTTCAGTTGTAGTATTTAAATATATAATTCTGGAATTATGCTAAGGAACTTTATCTTGCTGTATCCTTATAATAAATATTACCCCGATCAATCTACATACTTATTTAAAAATGTTAAATTTCTTAAATTATATTTATTTGAAATTTAATTAAATTTTAATTGTTTAATAGTACAAAAATATTTTTATTTCAATGGGAGTCCTTAAGTTCTCTCATCCCACCATATGCCATTGCGCCAGACAATTAAATGTATTTTTTCCCAAGTCTTAATAATATTAAGTTAATATTATTTTTAAAAAGTTTCTTGCAAAAAATTATTTGAAAATAGAAAGCTTAAAAAATATATGTTAAATCTGTGTCATAAAGACTTTATTGATTTTAATAAACATAAGAAAATTGTTCACGCCAGAAAGGCGCTCAATTTCGGGAGGCAGTGTGATCCCGAACGCTCTCCTTTTCTCTCCCTCTTCCTCCGGACTTCCAGTCCTAGAGCTTCCAATCCGCTCTCCCTAGCATTAGTTTCCTTTGTATATTTAGTACCAATTTACCTACGACTAAATAAACATCCCGACGCACGTCGCGTAAAACCCCGACAAGTTCTACGTGTTATTATTTATCCGAGTGCATTTCAGCTTAAAGCCCCCCCTCCAACATTTGGTCCTTCGAGCCGGATTTCATCCACCAGCAGCTCCGGTGGCTTTAACACCGCACCAGATAAGTCCATTACATTTTTGCTGCCGGTCATACAGTTAGGTTTTGCGAAACTCAATTCGTCTTAACTTCTCTGTATGATTATTGTCTAAATCCAAGTCCGATTAATCCGACACACGGCAGCATAATTTCCAATTCCAAATTCAAAATAATTCGGTTTCCAAATTTTCGACATTTGTGTTTCTGTGCCGAAATCCAAAAGTGTGTGTTTAAATAAATAAATAAATGCAATAGCCACAGTGAGAATTTAATTCCAATAGTTCTCGATTCCTCTTCGTTAACTGTGTTCCCGCTAGCATTTATTTACATTTACATACATATTCAATACAGTCCACTCCACAAAACTACAATCGCTGTCAACATTGACATTTCCCCAAATCGAGAAATTATATCCAAATAATTTCTATACAAGATCTACGGGTTCCAAAATTCATAAAGTGTTTGTTTAAATAAATGCCTAAGCCACAGTAAAACTTTCCAATTACGAATTATTCTTCATTCCTTCTCGTTTACTGTGTTCCCGCTAGCATTTATTCACATTACATACATACTACAAATACAGTCCACTTCACTCCGAAACTTATGTATATTTACAAATTTACAACAATAACTGTCCGCAGCTACTAAAATTATAAAGTGATTTAATTCGTACATATATTTGTTTATTTGCTCCCTTGCTCTATCCTGAGCTGCAGTTACATATGTACATACATACATAATCGTCTGCAAGTCGACGCTCCAATATTTGGCCATTTTTCCCGCCTCTCCTTATCTCCGCTATTTTGCACTTGCATACGACAAGTGCACAAATAGACATACACACGTATTGGTTCCAAAATACAACACCGGTCAATCACATAAGTCCAGATCAATAAAATAATTTGTAAATTATTTTATATTAAAATTCCAACTAACGAATTAAGTTAGAAATCCAAGTGCGCTTCCGTATCCGCACTAGTGTGACCGTATTTTCGTAATTCCGTATTTAATTCAAATATTCTCGATTTAAATTCCATACGAGAAAAATACAATTTTCCACAAATAATTATATATAATAATTATTTCAAAAATAATTATTACGAGTCCGATTGGTTCCTAAATTCCCAATCAAACTTCGACACATAAATTTTAATACCTATTTATAGTAAAAATTATAAAGAAATATCCAGAATGGCTCCTTCAATTTTAGACAAATTTACTTTGATCTGTGACCGTCTGTCACTTCGAGTCCCGAGTCTGCAATCCAGCAGCGCCCACTCCATCCAAATACTCTTGCCAAATCCATCTCGACCAAGTCCGAGCGCTATGGGATAAGGTCGAGAAAGAGTACGAAGATTGTTCAGAGCTGATTTCAGTTGGGTTAGAGGGCGCGGAGGACACCTTGCCTACTCTTAAGGCAAAATACGACTACTCCTATTTTATTTACGAACGGTGTGCCGCCCAGCTCATGGAACAGATCGATACGATCTCCTCCAAATCGTCTCCAGTCCAACCTCCTGCGCCCCAAAATTCCTTTCCGTCTGGCTGTCGGCTTCCTCCGTGCGAAACGGAAGTTTTCTCGGGCGATTATCTTCGCTGGCCGACTTTCCGGGACCTTTTCACAGCGGTCTATATCGACAATCCTACGCTGACCCCTGTAGAAAAGTTGTTCTATTTAAATGCCAAGACTAGTGGTGAAGCTCATTCCATAGTTTCCAATTCGCCACTCACCAATGACGGTTTCCGCTCAGCATGGGGAAACCTAACTGAGCGTTTCGAAAATAAACGCGCGTTGGTGAACAGCCAACTGAAGAAATTACTGAACATTCAGTCCATTGAACGTGAGTCCTCGGCAGCCTTGAAGGAGCTGCAAAATACAATTCAAAATTGCCTCACATCCCTAACTCTGTCCGGCCTTCCTACGGATAATTGGGACTGCCTCCTGGTTTATTTGTGCTCCACGAAGCTTCCAAAGCTGACGCTTTCCTTATGGGAGCAATCCTTAACAAATAAAACCGATATTCCGTCGTGGCTAGAACTCGATTCTTTCCTTACTGAGCGCCATAGAACTCTGGAAACCATCGATTCTCTCCATTGTAATGAAACTGATAATGTATTTTTATCATTTTTCTTTTTTAATTAGTTATTGATTTTAATTATTTTTGAGTTAGTTAAAAATTGTACAATTTATAATTTTTCTTTTTATACCCTTGCAGGGTATTATAATTTCAGTCAGAAGTTTGCAACGCAGTGAAGGACACCTTTCCGACCCTATAAAGTATATATATTCTTGATCAGCATCAACAGCCGAGTTGATCTAGCCATGTCCGTCTGTCCGTCTGTCCGTCCGTCTGTCCGTCTGTCCGTCCGTCTGTCCGTCTGTCCGTTTCTACGCAAACTAGTCCCTCAGTTTTAAAGCTATCTAAATGAAACTTTGCATATAGTCTTCTATATACTCTCACTGCTATATATGTCAGAACGGGCCGGATCGGATGACTATATCATATAGCTGCCATACAAATGTTCGATAAATTTTTAGAAAAAAAATTTTAACTTGGCTGTTTTTCAATATTATTCCATCATTTTTTAAATATAGCCTTTTTATATTATTCCAGAATTTTTATAAAAATTTCATGAAAATCGGACCACTATATCTTATAGCTGCCATAGGAACGATCGGGAAATTAATCGAAAAAAATTATAACTTCGTTGTTTTTCAACGTATTTTAATCTACTTTGGTACATAAGCTTCTGGTATTATTTCAGAATTTTGGTATAAATTTCATGAACATCGGACGACTATATCTTATAGCTGCCATAGGAACGATAGGGAAAGTAATAGAAAAAAGTATAACTTCGTTGTTTTTCAACTTATTTTCATCTACTCTGAGATATGAGCTTTACTTATTATTATAGAATTTTTGTATTAATTTTATGAAAATCGGACAACTATATCATATAGCTGCCATAGAAGCGATCCGTAGATGTAGAGAAAATGTAAAGCTGGGAATGTATAACTGTAACTGTCAAAATGTAAACATAATAAGTATAGGTAAAATGTTATGAAACTCTGTTTAGTGTCTTTTTTCGGCATTATAATTTATAATATAAATATGAAAACCAATCTGCAAGGGTATACAAACTTCGGCGTGCCGAAGTTAGCTTCCTTTCTTGTTTAATTAGTTATTGATTTTATTTATTTTTGAGTTAGTTAAAAATTGTAAGTTGATCTGGTTGAAATAAGTTGTGAGTTCGCTTTGATCATTATATTCGTTTCTGTAAATATAACGTAACAGAACAAACTAAACAACTGAACTAGTAAAAATAATTGTATGTAATAAGAGACATTATTTGTATGAATCGTAATCTGACTTTCCATTTTGTACTCTCGGGACTCATTAATGTTCTGGGGGTCAGCTAGTTTTCTTCTAAAAACCATTGGAATGTCCACATTAATTATGTTAACAACATTTTAAATTCCACCCTTGGGACAATAAAAATACACTTTAAGTAGATTAATTACGTTCATATATGTATTTATTTGTTCATTCAACGCTTTCCGCTTAAAAGCTATTTCGCCAATCTTTTTTGTTAGAACCCTGGGTTTGCATTTCGTTAAAAACATTTCCCACAAGATTATGTTATTTTAATAGTTGTAGTTATGTTAAATGATAATACAAAATTAAGCACAACCAAAAAGAGTTCAACTTTTGATTACTTTAGGTGAACTATGAGCATTACCGCTTAGCACGAGTATGAGTATGTTTATTTAAATGCATTGGGTTGAGTTGCTGGTAGTTGACACTTGGATAAACGATTACGAGTATTTTGGGTAGCAACAAGAGTCAAGTCAGATTTGAGGGAAGACACAAAAGTGTTTACAACTTAACCTAAAACCTAACGAAAATATTTAAAATTAAGTGATAAACTAACGATTTTTGCTTATGTACATTTAAGAGATTCCAGTCCAATAATCGCTTTCTACTATCGGTTCTCAATGGCTTATCTTGCGAGTATCTTAAGTAGCAGGTCAAGTCTTAAACAGTTAAATACGGATAGTTAGTTACTTCATGTCTGTATAGAGGTTTGTAAGTAAAATAAATGCTATCCAGATCAGGAGTCTGTGTTAAAACCGTGTCGAGTCTATTTATATCATGACTGTGGACGAAAAGTGTTCCCGAAATCCCAGCCCGGGCTAGGAAGTTCGTCTGGACCTAACGTCCAATCTATGAGTATTCTTGACATAAAGGTATCGAGCCATAACCCCTCAAATAACATGTACGACATACAAATAATAATAGACTTCACTTTGGGCTGTAAAACATAAATTTAAGCATCTTCAATTCTAAAACAAAACTCAAATTAAGTACCCCATGATTACTATAGTTTACACCAAAAATAACTAGAATCTAGAAAAAGTCGCGTGCTATTCCAGTGGCTAGGGCTCAATAAATGCATAAACCTATCGCTGATTCCTGGAAATGATTAAATTCGTGTTTAATTACGACGGCTTGCGTCCTGGATAATGATCTTGTTCTTCTGACGCGTCACTTTTGTGGCCGATGGCGGCGGCATCAGACGCTTCAGCTGCTCCGGCCTGAAGCTTACCAAAGCCTTGTCCTTGATCTTTCCCACCGCCCCTGTAGTGGTTGCCGTTGTGGTTGTGGCCGTTGTCGTGGTGCTTGATTCAATCAAAGCCGTAGACTCTTCAGCCGTGGAACCGGAGGAACCAGCCGCAGCGGCCGCTGCGTACCTGGTAAGCACCTGGAACTTGGCAAAAATGTTGCGTCCGCTCCGCTGTTCCTTGTCCTTGAACTTGTCTAGCGCCGAACCGGTGGGTAGCGGCTTGGGCGCCTTGACCAGCGCCTTGCCATGACTGTTGCCTGCTGCCTTGTAAAAGTCCAACTCGTAGTCAAAGTCGCTGCTTGCCTGTGCTGGCGTGGACGCACTAGCCGGGGCCAATGCCCGCTCTCCGTAGCTGGCCGAGCTGGCGGACGTCTCCTCGGCCATGTGTCGCAGCATTAGGGTAAGCTTCATCTCGTGCTGCCTCTGAAGGAGTACGGCATTCCGCTCGCCCTCAAGTCGCGCCTGACGCACGGCGTTGGACAGAACACGCTCCTTCCACTCCCAAGCGTCGCGCTCCCGCTCCAGCTGCACCAGCTGCAGTTCCAGCTTCCTTGACGAGTCGCGCAGATCGATCACCTTGGTGAAGTATTTGTACAGCAACGTACGCATCTCATCTGCGGAAAGACGATTAAGGCGGGCCATTAGCATCTGCTCCCCCTTCTCCCGCTGCACTCGATCACTGGTGTCGATGGAGCGGTGTCCCGTGATCAGCTCGTTCTTGAACTCAATGGCTGCATCAATGGCCTCTATGGCCTCGTCGCACTCGAGCAGTTTGCGCTCCTCCTTCTGGGTGAGCACCTTGTCGCGCTTAAGCTTGCTGTCCAGGTAGCAGCGCTCTTCCAGCAACAAGTCCCGAGTGCTGCGCAGGTTGCGAATCTCGTGGCGGAGGCTCTCCTGCTGCACGGGTCCTGGTTGCTCCTCCAGGTTGTCCGATTTCTCGCGGAGAATGTGGTTCAGGTGCGTGATCCTAGCCTGCACTGCCTTCAGCTGCCGACCTTGCTGCTCGGGGCAGTCCGGCTGGGGCTTGACCAGCGCTTTTCCGGCGTCCTGAGATTCCCGCAATTTGGCCAGTTCCAACTCTAGCTGATCGCGCAACTTGCCCTCCTTGCGCAGTTTCTTCTCCAGGTCGTCGGCCTGCTTGCGCGACTCTGCGACCGATTGCTGCAGCTTCTTCACCTTTTGGCCACTTTCGCCGGCGATGTGCTTTATGGAGTTGAGGTCCTCCAGCCGGCGCTCAAGGTGCGCTATGATGGCGGTCCAGCGCTCGATATCCGCCTGTTCTCTGCCCTGCACCAGAGCCTTGCCCAGCTGCTTCTTAGCCTTGTCGCACTCGGCCTCCAGCTTGCCCCGCTTCTTGCTGAACCGCTGCTTGGCATGGCTGCGCGTGTCGCTGTTCTTCACCAGCTCGGCGATGATGTTCCGCTTCACCTGAATCGTTTGTTCAATCTCCCGCAGCTGCCGCTGCCTACCCTCGATCTCGGCAGCCAGCTTGCGTAGCTTTTTCTGCAGCTGCTCAATGGGGGCGTTTGCGGCCGCGGCGGCCAAGGCAGCCTGGCGCAGTCCTTCGCCCGAGGAGCTCTCCAGGGGATCGACGACAGTCTCGTTGTGGGCTGGTGGGGGCTGCTGCGAGGCGACGCGATTCAGCATGGCCAGCTCTGCCGTACTTAGGCTGACACCTGGTTGAATGCTCCTCCGGCGACCTGGTAAAATAAATTGCGTAAGTTTTAGACATTTAATAGGGATTACACCAGCTAATCACTCACCACCAATGCTGGCTTTGCGTTCCTCTCCCTTCTCCGCCGGCTGCTGAGGGTCATTGTCGTGGTCTTGGCTGTGCATAACAGCCTTGGGATGCTTCGTCAAATAGTCCGCGTGTCTGGCCAGAATGAGGGCATCTGTCTTGACCCGAAACTCCTCCATGAGACCTTCCAGCTTGTCCGCCAAATCGGGACGTTGCGACTCGTTGTCAGAGTCGTTTTCGTTGTCCGAGTTGGCGCGCTCCGAGTTCGCCGCCTCGGAGTTAACGTCTTCCGGCTCCTCGGCCTCCTGGATGGGCACCAGCTGCTTCTGTTGTCGCATGGCCTCCGTTGAACTTAAGCACTCCTCACACTCCTGCTTGAGGAATAGCCACTCTTCGATCTGTTCCTTTTCCAAATCGCCGATCAGTTTCGAATCCATTAACCTAAAGTAAAACGGTAGCTTTAACGAAGGTCTCGACAGTGATGGACACTCTAATTACTTGGCAAACAGTCCCTCGGCGTTGGTCACCAACTTGGACCACTGACTGGCCGCGAACTGCAGGCCAAAGTGGTCGCCCGCCCCCGCCTGAGACAAGGGTCCTGCTGCGGAATTTGCTACCTGCAGGGGCTCGGGCGGTCGTACAATCAGCGTGTTGTCGTCGGAGTAGGTGTTCATGATGACAAAGTTGCGCACGCACTGTACCTTGAAGGCGAACTGTAGGTTACCCAGCGTCTCTGCCAAGTGTTCTTCCAGCGGAGACACGCACAGAATAACCAGCGTCTGCGCCCGCCCGCCGAAGGAGTCCTTCAGAAGAGTGGTGAGCGTTGTCTGGCCATACGGAATGTTCCCATTGACCCCGTACATCAGTCCGGGATCGGTGAGCGTGCTGACCACCTGCTCCAGCATGTGCAGGCCTCCATCGCGAGGACGTCCTGGGGGCGGTTCGCCGCTGCGTTCCGTCCCGCATAGATCACAGAAGCTGGCCGTGGACAGACGGTGCTGTAGTAGTCCCTCCTTGGACACCCACTGCTGCTCCAATGTGAGCGTGAAGAGCGTGTGCGCTGGCCGCGGCTGACGGGCAGCAAGTCCCGCCTGCAGCCAGCGGAAGACAGCACCGCCGTTGGTGCAATGCACATTCCCCATGCCCAGCAAGTCGCAGACCTCGCCATTACAGATTTCCACAAATCCCACGTTGATGGCGTATGTCCTCTCTGAAACAGGGATAGATTAGCTTATGATAGGAGTACATCTACGAGCAGATCCAACCTGGATGCGTGGAGATGTGCGCAAAGATGTCCCGGACGCAGAGCTGCACAACTCCCTCGTTTCCCTCCATCTGAGCACCTTCCTCTACGTTTCCGTACAAGGTATAGCTCTTGCCCTGACCGCTTTGGCCATATGTGACCACCGAGGCGTCGAAGCCCTCTAGGAAGAGGCCAATCAGGGGAAAAACCGTCTGGTGGTACACCTGCTCCTGGGTGCTGCTACTGGCCAGGGCGTGTGTGACGGGCACAGTGTGGGGCCCCACCTGGATGAGCCCGGCGGCAATGTTGTCCATGGGATCGCCGCCGGGAAGAGCGCTAGGCAACCCCAAGGCGGAAGCACTGATGGGAATGGCCTGGACACAGTATGCAGATTCGCGAAAATCGGTAGCATTCCCACTGTTATTGCCATTGGCGTCTGTCCCTGGCTCCAGCTTGCATTGGGGGTCCTCCTCCGCATTTCCATTTTTGTCAGCGATCTGGGGAGGCTGTTCATCGCCTGCACCTTCCCGTTCCCCAGTGTCCTTGGGGTGCTCCGCGTCTTCCTTATCCACCACCTTCTCCTGTGTGGGGCATCCGACGGGAGAAACCAGACCCTTCAGCTCCCTGTGCGGGTAAATTCGTACCGCCACCTGTATGGGTATCTCCATGGTAGTATCTTTCGTCCTGGTGTTGTTTTTACATAGTTCCCTGCGCGTTGGTGCGCATTTTTGCGCTTTCAAAACTATTTGGAAAAATTCCGCAGCTACGAATCGATACACGACAATGTGACCGAAGCTAGACCGCCAAAAAATATACCAAAAAATAAAACCTGGATTGAAATCTTAAAATAAATACTTTTGGTATTTCTTGGGGAAGGTACGGAGAGGGTAAATACTATTTTAAAGCAGTCAGAGGGAGCGAGAGGCAAATAGTTTAAAACGACTGTTCGTGAGCGGCGTTTAAAATATTAGAAACTTGTGTGCCGTTAGAAAATTAGGAGGGGATCGTAACAGTTATAAGTTAAAAAAAATATAAAATAACATGTATTTTTTTATACAATGAATTATTTTTAATTATTCTTAATATTCACTTTTAATAAAAAATAAAATTGAAATATATATTCATTTTTAATTTGTATATAAAAGTTAATTAGTAATAATAAAAATAATGAATATTTAAAAATTAAAATTATTATTATCATGTATGTATATATGCCCTTGCAGGGCATTATAATATTATTCAGAAGTTTGCAACGCAGTGAAGGAGTCATTTCCAACCCTATGAAGTCGATAGATTCATGATCGACATCAACAACCGAGGCGATCTAGCCATGCCGTTTCTTCACAAACTGTCATAGAAATTATCGGATTAAAAAAATTTATTTTTTTTGTTTTATATTTTATCCCAGTTTACTTCCTCTAAATAACTTTTGTATCTTCCTCAGTCAACCGCGGAACCCAAACGATCGTGATGTGGAACACATCATCGTCTATACAATTTAAATGATTATGTATATATATAAATATTTTTTTATTTTAATTTAATTTAATTTTATTTTAAATGTTTTGCAGCAGTGTAATATTGTTTTAAGTCAAATGTAGTGTATAAGCAAGCAAACATTGGTTTTATAACAACAGCAGATGTCAACACCTTGGGCTTTGAGTAAGGGTATACGGCAAATTAGTTTGTGGTTTATTCCTGAAGTCATATTTAATGCTCATCCTGCTCTGGTGTTGTACCGCGTGGAGGGGAAAATCCGTCCTTGAATCCAAAATAAGGAATAAGAAAATTATTGCCAAACAAAAGATTTAAACGTATGGAAATGACTTACAGCAGGCTTATACAGGACACCTAAAATTTCCTGTATAATCGGCATCGGGTTGGTCTCCTCAGATTCTTGGCAACTGGAAAGAAAGAGATTATGTCCTTTAGACCAGGTGTTCGGTCAGTTTAGGACTAGAGCAGGTCAACTTACAGAAGCTCAATGTCGCGCAATTTGGAGAAGTAAAAGTCGCGCTCCTTCATCACTTCTATCAACTGCTCAGTTGCATCATTGCCACCTGACTGGACCATTCCTTCTAGGGGCTGATCTGGTTCCGTGTCCGTGACTTCGGCGTCAATAGTGCGTGAAACCACCCTGGCATCTACTTGATTACAGAAACGACAAATTATATTTAGATAGATTTATAATATGCGAATCTCACTGGCCTGTCAATTTTTTATGGGAATAAAAGCTTGTTGACTGAAAATTACTTACAGGGCTTCACTACAGATGTCCCTGCCGGGCGCCCAGATGTCAAAGGAACTCGCCGGTAGCTGCTGGCTCCAACGGTACCTTCACGGGCCGCAATTGGATCATAATCCCTGCCATTGTAGTTGGCATCAAAGAATTTTTTAAACCACTGTAAAAATTCCAAATTGTCTTGGAAACGTCCTTTGACTAGTTTATCAATAGGTATAATCTAAAATTATTACAATTAAAGAAATATTAATGGCATTATGATCTGGATGAATGCAGACATCGTATGAACTAGGATATACTACAAAATAATAATAATAAAGGTGTAACTCAAAATTTTGTTTTTGAAAAACTCAATTAGAAGCGATTTTTGCAAAATAAATGTTCGATTTATTGAGACCATCACATGGGTTAACCCCCTTAAGTGACAAGGTCTGTGCAGTCGATTCAAGAGTACTGATTTTAGCTGTTTGCTAAAAGCGGTAGTCCATTGTTAAGAGAAGATGTCACTAGAAATCTCCACATACCATGATTTCGAAAGTATATTGTGTCATTATGTTTAAATAAAATAAAAATGTTTGACTTAAGAAGTTCTATATAGTTAAAAAAAAGTTTGAATTGCTACCTTATCTACAGACATCTTTGTAAAGCCCGCCTGCAATATCTTGAAGTTCTGCAAGTACTCGTGCTCCAGATTTGTACGGAATTTGACACGCTTTAGGGGCACAGAATTTGGAAACAGCATGTCCATGAATTGGCAGTATGCTGCACCTAACAAAGGTAATGGGTCCGTCCCAATAAGATCGCTTTCCAGACGACTCTAGCACTCACTTACCAGTGCAAAGCTCCTCGACTTTGGAGAAGTCCGACTTTAGGCTATTGTTAACCCATGCAAGCATTTCGTGCCGCGAAAGATTCTCAGTCGTCACATTTGTGGAGTGAACGTTGACGGCCATGATAAATAAAATTGTTTTCTGGTTTTTGAGTCGACACTGAAACGATAAGACTAAAAATTGCATAAAGCTAGGCAGGAACCCCAACTCTACGAACCAAGATCAAATTATCTCGCCGAAATCGATCCACTTTTTATTAAAGAGGTTTTTTACTAAAAACTCCTTTTGCTCTTCGCTCGTTTAAACTCACGAAATTAAAAAAAAAGGGAAATTTACTTTTGCTCGTTTCGTTTATTTCGTTGTAATGTTCGATTAAAACTTGGAGGAGTTTCGAGTGAATTCCTATGTGACAAACCAGTCTCTCAAGGCCTGCTTTTCGGAGTTATATATATTTTCTTTTTTGTCAAATAGTCAACTGTGCTAGACCCTAGACCTCTGCAAAGATTGTATTTTAGATCAGTATCACCAGGCGAGTCGATAACCCTTTGATATCAACGACTATAAGAGCGGAGCTACCGAATTTGGTGAACTTTCACATCTTTTCCACGCAGATCAAGGTGGAAAACTTATCAACTTAAGTTTAACTTACCTTACATATTACACAGGTCGATAGCTTCTTTAAACCAAGAAGTATACTCATTCAATAGTTTCGGGTGACCGGAACTCAAAACTTGTTTCATAAAATTTCCTATATGTCAGGTTTTCAAAATATTTGAACTTACAGCACCTTATACTGTTACTTCAATACGTTTTATTTTTTTGCTTTACAATCGTTACGGCATCTTAAATGACATTTCTTGTCCTTAAAAATTAGTTTTTAAAATTTGAATATATTATTATTGGTCACCGATACCTCGTCTCTTTAATTTATATTGATAGTTTTCCATATATTTCAGAGTGCGTTAAATTTGACAATATATATGGAAAAGGATAATATAAATTCAAAGTTCGATATCTCTAAGATCCATAAAGGTTTTTCGAAATTTTGATTTTGTGGTGCAAGAACAGTACTTTATGATAGCGTAACGATCATTTTGAAACAAATAAAACGTTACAGCACTTTAAAAATACGCATAGATCGTATTCACCGCACTTTAAGCTCAGATATTTCAAAAATCTGAGGTACAGGAAAATTTCTAAGCGCATAAAAAACCCTCGGAAAAGTATATTCCGGTTCTTGGTTCTGTGATTTTTATAAATTTTTGTCGGCCTGTGCTATACTTACAGTCAGCTTTGAGTTTTCTCTATATATACCGATGGTTCCTATGGCATTTACATATGTAATATAGTGGTCCGATATGGCCCGTTCCGACTTTGTTACTAGTAAGTATAGTCAAAAGACTGTCTAAAAAGCTCTAAAATTGACAAACGGACGGAAATAAGTTATTTACTGCGTTGCAAATTTCTGACTACCGGTATAAAACCCTGAAAGGATTAAAAAAAAAGGTTTAACGTGTCTTGAGGTTCAAAAAGAGCCGGTTGTCAACAAAGTATGACCGTATTTAGGTGTGTACAAAAAGTGTTAAATATGTACCAAAAATATACTATCGCATAACCGTTTGGTATTTATTGAACGACACAAAGCTCACTCGCCCATCCCTAATAATTTTCACGTTGTTTTTTTCAGCGCGTGTTTTCTTTGTGCAAAAACGTAAAGTTTCGTGATTTAGGAGCACCCGCAGACAAACAGCATGTCCAAGCGCCGCATAGAAGTGGGGGAGACTTATGGCAGCAAGGCCAAGAAGTGAGTTCTGCAACGGCGGCCACCAGCGAGTCTCTAATGTCATTTTTCAAACAGGGAGTCTGAGGCATCGTCCTCGGCGGCTGCAGCGGCTTCGGCGGCCGGCACAGTGGCGCAGATTCTCGGCGGCTTTGTGCCAAACAAGCAGCCGCCCACGATGAACCCGCTGACCAACAAGCCGTACTCGCAGCGGTACCAGAACCTATACAAGAAGCGCATCTCGCTGCCGGTGTTTGAATACCAAGCGGACTTCATGCGTCTGCTCAGCCAGCACCAGTGCATCGTGCTGGTGGGCGAAACGGGCTCTGGCAAAACGACGCAGATCCCTCAGTGGTGCGTGGACTTTGCCGTGTCCAAAGGCCGGAAGGGCGTGTCCTGCACTCAGCCCCGCCGAGTGGCTGCCATGTCCGTGGCGCAGCGCGTCTCTGAGGAAATGGATGTGAACCTGGGCGAGGAGGTGGGTTACTCCATCCGTTTCGAGGATTGCTCCTCGGCCAAGACGCTGCTGAAGTACATGACTGACGGTATGCTGTTGCGCGAGGCCATGTCCGATCCAATGCTGGAGCAATACCAGGTCATCCTGCTTGACGAGGCCCACGAGCGCACACTTGCCACTGATATTCTGATGGGCGTGCTCAAGGAGGTGATTCGCCAGCGCAATGACCTCAAGCTGGTGGTGATGTCCGCCACCCTGGATGCGGGCAAGTTCCAACAGTATTTCGACAATGCACCGCTCATGAACGTGCCTGGCCGCACGCATCCCGTGGAGATATTTTACACGCCGGAGCCCGAAAGGGATTACCTAGAGGCTGCTATACGCACAGTTATCCAGATCCACATGTGCGAGGAGATCGAGGGTGAGTGTGAAGCTGCATTGATTATTTAAGCCTATCTGACTTTCGATTTCCAGGCGACATTCTCATGTTTCTTACTGGCCAGGAGGAAATCGAGGAGGCCTGCAAGCGCATTAAGCGCGAGATCGACAATCTCGGTTCGGAGATCGGCGAGCTAAAGTGCATACCCCTGTACTCCACGCTGCCACCCAACCTGCAGCAGCGTATCTTCGAGGCGGCCCCTCCCCCGAACGCCAATGGGGCCATCGGACGCAAGGTGGTGGTGTCCACCAACATAGCCGAGACCTCGCTGACCATTGACGGCGTGGTGTTCGTGATAGATCCCGGCTTTGCCAAGCAGAAGGTGTACAATCCTCGCATCCGCGTGGAGAGTCTGCTCGTTTCGCCCATATCCAAGGCCTCGGCCCAGCAGCGGGCGGGTCGAGCTGGACGTACGCGGCCGGGCAAGTGCTTCCGTCTTTACACAGAGAAGGCTTTTAAGAACGAAATGCAGGACAACACATACCCCGAGATTCTGCGCTCGAACTTGGGTAACATTGGGTTTAATTTTATAGAAACTTCAGCATTAATTTCTTCATTTAAATCCTGCAACAGGTACTGTGGTCCTGCAACTCAAGAAGCTCGGCATCGACGATCTGGTGCACTTTGACTTCATGGATCCCCCGGCTCCGGAGACACTGATGCGAGCCCTCGAGCTACTCAACTATCTGGCTGCCCTGGACGATGACGGCAATCTGACGGACCTCGGCGCCGTCATGTCCGAGTTCCCATTGGATCCGCAGTTGGCCAAAATGCTGATTGCTAGCTGCCAGCACAACTGCTCGAACGAGATACTTTCCATAACGGCCATGCTGTCGGGTGAGAAACGAAAATCACATAAAAACTTCTGTCTTTAGTTTAGGATTCAAGAAAAGCAAGGAATTTAGCGTAGTGATTTGAATTTCAAGAAAGCCTTTTTAACCGGCTACCACTTGTGGCTGCAATGTTCCAAAGCAATTGAGTAGAAATGAACAAGGAGTAGATTTCTATACCCTTGCAGGGTATTAAATTATCATTAGGAAGCTAGTTAATGCAGTGAAAGAGTCGTTTCTTGAACAGCACAAGCAGTCGAATCGATCTAGCACGGCAGCTTAATTTTCATTCATTTTCATTCAAATTTTAAAGTAATTTTTTAAATTTTAAATGAAGTATGCAGTTTTTTAAGCCTGTTTAAAACCAACATAGAAAAGTTAACTGATCTAAAATACATTTTTTGATTTTAAACTTTGATTTTCCCAAAAATGATCATATAAAAAGTTTGATTATTATCCATTTAAAGAATTTAAATATTTCCAGTCTTCTTAAGGGGTTATCCGGGTTTTGAAGCACTAAAAATGGCCTATTTTTTAAAGCATCCTACGACAATTTTACAAATTTCATTTATTGTACATTAAAATATAAAGTTTGAACTACATTGTGTAAAAATTTGAACAAAAAATATTAAAAAATGAGCCATTGAGGCAGGTTTGAAATTAGCCCCACAAAAAATTATGTCCTTGCGGTAGGCAGGATATCTCTGTCAATGTTTATAGGAAATCAAAAAATCAAAGTTTTTCTGTTAGTGTATGTGTCTGGCTTGCATTTGAACGAAGGATTTTTTTTTTTAATTAAAAATTGAATTTTTGGTAGCGTTTTTTATAAAAAGTGTATAAAATTAGTTGTAATTGAAGTTTAAAAAAATCCTTCGTTCAACGACAACAAAAACATGTCTAGAATAAGTGTGAAAAAGCAAAAGTCGATCGGTGCAATAGTTTTTGAGAAATCGTGACTACCGACTTAAAAAAAAGTGGTTTCGAGAAAAACGACGCAAAAGTTCGAATTGCCAGTTCGGCTTTAAATTTCTCCCATTCCTACAGTTTTGCTTCGATCGACTTGAAATTTTCGGACAACATTCCTGACACTTTGTAGTATTATGTAAAAAAGTTTGAAATAATTGCATTTTTTTAAGTTTCAAAACCCGAATAACTCCTTAAAGAGTTTTATTAATTTTAGCTATTTCATTTCCGACCGTATACTTTATTTAATTTAATTTAATTAAGCCATTTTTGGTCTATGTAAAATTTTTTCAGTGTTTTATAAGGGGTTACATTGTTAAAATGTACACTTTTTTTTTCTTTTTTCAATTACAATTAGAAATACTTCAAAAACTAGCTTTACTGACTAATTTATATCAAAGTTGCCTCCTAAAATTCAACTCCAGCTTTTGGCATTTTTAGGCCTCAACAAGTGGCAGCCATGAATTTGTTAGTTAAAATTGAAAATTGAATAGACAGATCTCAGTAAATCCTAAGTAAAACCAATGCAAAGAAAAAAGTTTATTCAATTTATTTGTTCTTTGCATTTAACTCGAAAAGCTAAGTTGCACATGCGTTAAAGTCCCCTTCCGCCTTTTGGCCATCGTTCGATTGGAATGATGAGAGGGCACAAGTCTCTTGTCTTGTAAAATCGTTAAATGAATACATACATATTCGCCGTAAGCAATCGCAACGCACTTGCAACTCACAAATGCAACCAAACTTTGAATTAAGCCTCTAGATTGCCTAGCTGACGAACAGTAAGCACAATCTAATTGTTTATGTAAAAAATGTTTTGAACTTGTGCTTAATCGAAAACCAAACCAATTCAAACGTGCCAAAGTGCCACAATGCTTTGTGCGTCCCAACGAGGCCAAGAAGGCAGCCGACGAGGCCAAAATGCGGTTCGCTCACATTGACGGGGATCACTTGACCTTGCTGAATGTCTATCATGCCTTCAAGCAGAGTGAGTAGAGAATAATATACAAAAAAAAAAAGCGAAAGGCTAACAAACTTTCACTTCAGGCAGCGAGGATCCCAACTGGTGCTACGAAAACTTCATCAACTTTCGGTCGCTGAAGAGCGCAGACAATGTGCGCCAGCAGCTGGCCAGGATCATGGACCGATTCAGCCTGCGGCGCACCAGCACCGAGTTCACCTCCAAGGACTACTATGTGAACATTCGCAAGGCCCTCGTCCAGGGCTTCTTCATGCAGGTAGCCCACCTGGAGCGCACCGGCCACTACTTGACCATCAAGGACAACCAGAACGTGCAGCTACATCCTTCGACATGCCTGGATCACAAGCCCGACTGGGTCATCTACAACGAGTTTGTCCTGACGACCAAGAACTACATTCGCACGGTGACGGACGTGAAGCGTGAGTACCCACCCATTCATGCTAACCCAAACACTCGCCTGAAACTACCTTGATGACTTCCCACAGCCGAATGGTTTCTCAGCCTGGCCCCGCAGTACTACGATCTGAACAACTTTCCGCAGTGCGAGGCGAAGCGTCAACTGGAGCTGCTGCAGCAGCGGATGGAGACCAAGCAGTACCAGAAGGGTTTCTAGGTGTAAGCGCAGATGAGGGGGACACTGGATACGCGTAATAGATACAGAATGGGGAACGCAACGTTTTGCTTTTTATTGTTTGCTAAATTTAAACTGAAGCACACGAACAGACTCTTAACCAGATCATTAATATCCAGAAACTCCGTTTAGTGAATAGTGTTAATAAATGAAACCACTTTTTATATTCATCTCAGCCGTTGGTCCTTTGGAACTGAATGAGTATGACCAGGTAGGTGGCTATGGCCGAGGCGAACTGAAAGAGCAAAGAATGTTTATACTTGACTTGGCTAGGATAGTCCAAATGGTATGTTACCGAGGTCAGTATGGTGCGATTGACGCGGCACAGGCCGCAGGCGGAGAAGTCGGCATCTACCACCAACAACTGCTGCCAGAACTTCTTCACCGCCTCGGCCAGTATGGGCTCATGCACTTTCCTCTCGATCTCGCACACAATCTGTATGGTCTTGCGCGACTCGCGGGCAGCCAGATGGCACGGCTCCACCACCATGAGCAGGCGGAGAAAGTGAAAGCATATCCAGAGCATCTGCACCCACAGGTAGCCGTTGTCCCGCTTACTGAGCAGCTCCAGAAACAGGAAATAGGCGGTGGCCACCAGATGCAGCAGGCAGGACACCATAATGAAGAGCACCGCCACGCCAAAGGAGGCAGGGTCAAGTGAGAACAGCGGCAAATCCCACTTGGATAGCAGCAGCACACACTTGCCAAGCGACTCGTGGCTGTCGGCCATGGCCTTGAGCAGAAGTCCCTTGTTCTTGGCTGGAAAAGGGACCAGTTTGAGTAACTCCACGTTGAGGATAAGACTGCGGCTGTCACCTGTCGATTCGCTAGGCAGTGTCTCGCTGTTAAGCTTGGTTAGACTCGCGTGCAGCGCCGTGGGCATCGCCAGAGGTTTCATGCTGATGGTCTTCACCGCGTTCACCTTGAGCGGCTTGGAAGAAGCGCATTCCTTGTGGTCTGCGGGAAACTGGCAAGTAAGCATACAGAGGTATTAAGAGCGATTTGAATCCATTTACCCCCCAAAAAGCTGCTGTCGAGCATGCGGTTTAAACGTGCAAAGCGCCTGCCCAGGCCATAGCAGCAGTATGGAAGAGTCGTCCATGGAGTACGGATTTGGCTGACGGGGTCCACTGTAAGATTTCTTAGAGTCCGTCGGTTGCGATTGCGAGTTATCACAGTGCTCGCCACTGTCTCTCAACTGGTCGGGCAGTTCCTCGCCGAACTCCTCATCATCCAGATCCTCGTCGTCCTCATCCACATCATCCCTCTGCGCGCGCACAACCCGCTCCGGCTGGTGTCCTGGCTGCTTCTGATCCACAATCTGCTTGCTGTTGCTGTTTCCCAGCTCCGGCTTCATCCTTTCACTCGCCTCGGTGCCGTGCAGACGCGGCATTTGGGAGACGTCGCCCTTCAGCAAAGCAAAGGCATTGATCTTGGGATTATCCAGAGCACCTTTGATGAAGTCCAGCCGCAGGCGACCATTTCGTACGTCGGAAACCTCGCCCTCGTAGTTCAGCCGGCCGTTGTTGATCTTGAAGTACACGATCTCGTCGTGGGCGGAGCCCCGTCCCACCTGGTCGTAGATGTCCAGCTGCCGGACCACCGTGTGCTTCCGGTTGAGCAGCACGCCGAAGACCTTTTTCTGGTGCAGATAGGTGACCATTGTGGTGATCAGACCCTTGAATAAACTCCTGTTAACATCGAAGAAACCGCTTCACCATGAGACAAGGCACTAAAGGGAGAATATAGGAAGTTTGATAGAAACGACATGTTCTTTAGGTGGGAGATATGCTTACACTTGACGGACACCTCATGCCCATTTTGTCCAGGAAGTCAATTCTCCGAGATTCTGGTGATGATGCATGGCTGTAACTTGAACTTGAACTGAGTTCTCTGAAGGGAAGGTGTTGACTGATCTCTGGTCGGGAATGTTCTCTTATTTATATCAAATAGGAAACAGGTAAGCTCAGGTTTTTATAAGGAGTTACCTGAAATCCGTGGTAAATGCACAGCCAGAACACAGCCTCATCGATGATTAGCTTTGGCATGCTAGGGGAGCCGTTGGGTGCTGATGCGGAGGCCGTCGGTGTAACAGTCGAGCCAGGAGGCTCCTAAAGTACGGAGCCGGCACCGTAAGCTGTTTGTTGTTGTAGGCATGCGTGAAAATTTGCAGCAAACTTCTGCAAAAAAAAAATATATATATATATATAAAAATAGCGAGGATTAGGACTGGAAAGGGAAAGGAGCAGCACTAATTACCTGCAACTTGATGGAATTGTTTGGCGGGCATCGAACATCTGGATCACAATCTCCCGGCGCACAGCTCGTAGGCGGTCGTAGACCACATTGTACGGCTTCCGAGTATCCAGGATTATACTGCAGAGAAATTCGAGTTGCAATTGCAAGCTGAACCTGGTTTTCCACGACAAAAATGCTTACTCCTTGAGCAGATACTCCACTGTTTTGGTCAGCGACTGCTCCGTTCGCATGTCCTTCGCTTGGGGCATCTTGAACCGCTGCTTTGGTCCCACTGCTCCTGCTGGAACCTCTGACGGAGTAGTACGGCCAGACGGGCTATCTGTGATCTGATCTGATCCGGAGGTGTCAAAAAAACAAGTTACGGGCCACAAGGAAAAATTTACCTGCTGAACCAGTTGCTGCACATCCTCCGGCATTGTGGAACATCTCGACTGTAACTGCGCTTTCATTTATCCACTACTTTTCCTATCCGGCCACTTCCTATCCGGCCACAAACAACAACAACAACATTCTCAACTTTCAAATTCATTCTTTCATTTCGTTTTCATTATGAGCTCCACTCTACCACGTTCAATGTTGGACAACATTATTAATGGGATTTTTAATTTCAATGTTGGACAACATTATTAATGGGATTTTTAATTTCAATGTTGGACAACATTATTAATGGGATTTTTAATTTCAAAGAACAAATTTCTTTTATTCCAAAGAAATTGTCTTTTCAATCACTGGGTAATCTGGATTCGAAGTATGCTAAAATAGCCAACAGGCGAGGTAAAACTATTGACGCTACGTTAGTAAACTCTAACTCAGTCTCATCATTCCATTCATCATTACGAATCCTTTCCTCCTTCCATAATTGCATTGTAGTCTTCCACCTTTGCCCAATGAGTTCTAAATCGTCATTATTACAGCAATTTAGCTCAAAAATTTGAGCAGAAGGCATAATATTAAAGAATTTTTTTACTAATTCTCTTAGTGACTCGATTTGCTCCTTGTTCATATCCTTGTGCTTAGCACATGGGTCTCTTCTATTTTCTTCTATCGCCTTATCAAAAATCGTATTATACGAATTTCGATGAAACTTTTCGCGATACAATTCTTTCATGTAATCATTCCTGCTCAAAATTTGAACTTTGAGCAAATGCTTCAAGTCCCAAATAGAAATAATGTCTTTCCTTTTCAAGACATAATTCATATAATTATGATCTACAACAATTCCTAGGAGCAAATCTGTTTTTTGTTCGTCTTTGAGATATGTCAGAACGACATCAAATAGTTTACTAATATTAGACCCTGTCTGCTTTAACTTAAAGTCTAAAGCTAAAAATTGAAAAAATTTCCCATTATATGAACTAATTGCAAAGCAAGCAACTTTATACGGCTTTTTCTTAACAGTTAGTAAATAGAGCTCATTGACACAAATGAAATAGGGCTCATTCAGTTGATCCCATTGAAATGAGGACAACATTCTAATGAATCCCGAATTCAAAATATCTAGAGATGTTTGTTCTTTATAATTATCTACTATTTTCTGAGCGAGTTGAATTACCTCATCTCTGGGCAAGCTATAATGCGCAATTATAGGTAGCTCTCGGAAAATGTTTAAATAATTCATATTTAAAAGTAGTGGATAACTGAAATTCTTCAGTAGACAACGAAAGCTGTAAAAGTGAAAAGACGAAAAGTCGGCTTTAAAATTTTAAATTCATAATAAAAGACCTACAAAGATCATAGCTGCGTTGAAATTGTGTATCAACGAACTAGGTAAAAAAATATTTAAACAAAAAAATCGAGCTAACGAAGCATTACCAAAGTGAGCTTAAACAATTGGAAGTAATGCCTGCTGTTAGACGATCAAATCTTGGGCGGCGTTGACGCAATGCAATAAGAAATCAGAATTTCCGTAATAGTCGGACGCAAGAGGAACGTACAGAAAGAAATGCATTGATACGTAGCCAGATGGCACAGCTTCGCGCTGCACAAAGACCACGTCAAGCCCGACAAAATAATAGAGGAAGACGAGCCGCAAATGAAAACTTGAATCGCATTCGCATACAATCCTGAAACATCCTACAAGGATCTTACGTGCGTTGTTATTGGTTCATTAACTGTTGTATGGGAAAATGTTGTCGAAAAACTGGTATCGGAAAAATGTTATCGAAAAACTGGTATCGGAAAAATGTTATCGAAAAACTGGTATCGGAAAAATGTTATCGAAAAACTGGTATCGGAAAAATGTTATCGAAAAACTGGTATCGGAAAAATGTTATCGAAAAACTGCATTGAAGTTTCGGTTGGAAACCTCCGCCTTATGCTGTGCAGGTGGCAAAATTAAATTGCTCGTTTAGGCTCATCCATCAGAGCAATTGTACTAGCTACTATATGGAAACTCAGCCCAATCAAACAGTTTCATAAAGCTTGCACAAAAATATAACGGATGCTTTCCAATTACGTCATTTGGAGTCGAGGTTGTTCATCAACCAGGCCAATCACTATCAGCGCTTAGGAAATAATGCAAGACAATTTAATGCTCCCACTATCAATGAAGTCGCAGTGGTGATTGTTGGCGAGAATGTTGAATCACGCGATATTGTTTTTAAGCTCTTCAATACCCGTTGGGAGAAGATGGGTATCACTTCAACATAAAGATGGTCAACCTAACTTCAGGTTTGTTTACGAGTCATCACTTCTTTTTGATTCTACAACTAAGTTTGAATTCAAGTTCTAGGAGAAGAAACGAATAAGAAGGTCAACTCTCTGAATTTTTATGCGTATCGATTGATGATTCGACTAGATGTTGACAATCATCTGTTAAGATACCGCCGTTTGTTTCAACAGTACTGTGTGGACATGTACGTCAAAGTAAAAACGTCTCAATTTAATTTGTTTTAATCAGTCGAAGTTGGGGCGAGATAAAGTTCGCCGGGACCGCTAGTTAAATATTATAAAAATATAATTCAAACCTGTTGGCTCAAATGTAACACCAAGTCGGCTCGCAGGTGAATATCAGTCTGATAGACACCACCTTCTCTTCGGAGAAGGTCCTCCGCGCGGTACCTCCTCACCACTTTACCTACCTACCCTACCATAATTTAAACTCAAATAAGTGGGAATAATAAATAAAACTGAGATCATTTATGTAGAAGATAAAATTTAAAATTAAATGAAACTCCATCTATTTTATATATTGTTCTAGTTGTTCTCAAACGAAAATAAACATTAGAAATGAAATGAAAGGTCTATTAAAGAGTATGTGGCATGTGAATGAGTGCAGAGACAAGCGCCAGCTTTGTTTTCCCCCGAATTACAACAGCAACAAAAACCAAAACAATAGCAAATAAATAGAGAGAGAGCGTTTTTCAAGAAAATAATCATGCCTGCGTTATTTTGTTGTTCTTCGTGTTGTTCGGGAAATGACAAAGACAGGCAGCGGAAGCGGGAAAAGGAACTCAAAAATAAAATTAGACAAATAAACGAAATTTTTCTTTCTTTTTTTTATAATGTTTTTAAATTTATATGTTTAGCATTGGGCGATAGCAAAAGGAAGGTGAAATTTTTGTAAAGGTGATTTCTGTTCAAAACAGAATGTTGAATGAATTTTAAAAGCTATGTCTAAGAGGTATATTAATTGAAATGTTATAAATACTAAATTGTAAAAGGGTAAGCCCTAAATATTAAAATTAAAAATTATTATAAATGAAATAACTATTTTTAAATAATTATATTAGACTTAAAAGTTAGATGATATTACTTTAAGTCTCAACCCAAACTAAATCAATTTTATCTACATTTTAATTAAAGAAATAACTCTACTCTCGATGAACTTCCGGATGCCCTCGGTCGTTTGATATTTATTCCGCTTGAGGCAATTACCCAATTCACATAATTAGAGAGCCTATAAATAGTGTGTCCAACAGTTTTAGAGCCACCTGAACACGTGCCACACGGTCGGATCAATGCGACCAATAATGTGCTTATCATATATATTGCTACATACAGGAAACAAAATAGGAAAAACATAGGAAAATAAAATCTCAAATAACAGATTTCTTCTATCTTTATAAGATAAACTGCCTTTATGGTTGTATAAGTATTTAAAACTCATTTGCAGTCGCTATTTAATTTAAAAATGTACTCTTATTTAGTCAATATATCATTATTATCACCTATTTATGATTATCTATGATTATCATTATCTAATTTAATTAATTAACTAATTTTAAGTTTTTAATTTAAAGGAAACGGAAGCTGTAAGTGAGGGTGATGGCCCCCTTGTTTATTTTGGTCTCTTTTAAGCTTTAGTAATCAGAATATAGTTTTTACCCATAAAATATACACTAGGGTATTCATAAAGTAAAAATAAGTGATGTATAAATGTAATAGATAAATAAATAATTTTCAAATTTTAAAAAGAATCTTGATAAGAAATAGTTTTTTTTTTAAATAGTATCCTTTAAAATGATCACAATAAATAATTATGCATGAATAATTCAAACCCCTATCACTTTCTAACTACACATATTAATAATTAAAACCCAAAATCAAAACGCTTCCGACCCACCGTATTAAAAAAGAAAACAAATAAGTACAGGACCAAATGTAGGAGGTTTCGTACTCCAGTTGAAAAAACAAATTATAAGCTCCCACAAATAATGATACACAGCAGTCACATGGAGAATTGGAATCAATATAAATACGAGTGCTATGTAGTATGTGGTTTTGTTCGCTTTTTTTCAGCAATTTGTTCGATTTGCTAATGCGAACAGCTTAGGCAAATATTTTGGCATAAAAGTCAGCAAGTGACAAAATAGTAGCTATTAATTGTTTGTAGGCCAACTGAGTTGCTCGCCGTCTAAACATGGCCAGTGCGAGTCAATAGTTGTTGTTGATTGTTTGGTTTCGACCGAAACAAAGCCGCCTGAAAATGTTGTTAACCTCAAAAACCGCCAAGAACGTCAACAAGTGAAATTTGGCGGTGCTAAAAGTAAGATACACTAGGAAAAGAAGTTGCATTATTTTGGGACATTTTTGGGACTCCTAGCTCTTGTCTATATAAAATGGGCCTTAAGCTGTCAATGTCCAGATAAAATTTTAAATTGTTATTAAAACAATTTAGGTCTCAAATATTTACTCTCAAGAAGAAAAATAAAAAAACCAAAATGAACGAAAATAGCTTAGCCGCATTAAACACAACAATGAATTGCATCAAGTTAATACAAAATTTTGATGGTACTGATACGAATCAATTGCCAGATTTAATAACACAAATTGAAACTGTCCTTCCCACTTTCAATGTTTTCGACTCAACTACAAAAAACATTTTGTTTAGCTTTATAAAGAATAAATTTGTGGGACTATGCAGGCCAGTGATTCATAGGCATGGCAATATAATTGAGTGGGAAACTTTTAAACAGGTAATTTTGAAAAATTTCGGTGAAAAGGAAACAAGCGATGCCTTAATGGATATGTTAAAATTGTGTCGAGTAGAATCAACGATAGAAGAATATTATAACAAAATTAATGAAATTTCTAATAGGGTACATAATCGGATACTAATCCATAACGACGAAACATACAGTACATCAGAAGTGAACCGAATTGCACTCCATGTTTTCAGAGAAAACTTGCCTGAACCTACAAAAACTTTAATATTCGCAAGAAACCCACAATCTGTAGATGATGCCTATAAAATCATTGAAGATGCTCGGCATCTTATACGGGCCAATTCGAAGAAACTATAGAAATTATAGGAACAACTTCAGAACAAATTTCAGTAACGATAATAGAAACGTTAACGAACCACTCGTTACACAAACTAATTTTGAGGCAGCCAAACAATGTTTTACAACAAGAAAATCAAAGATCTGAAGGAACGTTTAGGATAAATAATAGCAGGCAGGGATATCAATATCATCCGAATAACAGCTCAACTTCTAATTCTGCTCGAGTTTCGACAAATAGCTCAAAGCTCTGGCCAAAGCAGACGTAGTTTCGAGCCAATGGACGTTAATCAATCAAGTGTAAATTTTCAGATAGAGGATCAAGGCGACTACCATATATAGTAGTTCAGGGTAAAAAGAGATCATTATTATTTATTATTGACACTGGAGCTGAATTCAGTGTAATAAATAAAAATATGTGTCATCCGAAATGGAAAACAGATATCGATATAGAAGTGCAGGCAATGGGCAACAAAATTAAAATAGAAAAATTATGCAGGTTTCCATGTTTCCAAGAATTTGAAGCTGAAGATTATATTTGCGAATTTTTAGAATATAATTTTCACAGCTCTTTCGATGGGTTGATCGGCTGTAACATACTTAATGACATGAATGCAGTCATTGATTACCCAAACAAGAAGCTAAAAGTCAATGATGTTTATTTAGATCTTTTCATACAGGAAAACCACTCGGATCTAAACATAAATAACTTAATTCCAATTAACTTTATTACCCCACAGGCCAGATCCTTAATAAATGAGCTTATAAAAAAATTCGAAAGTATTTTTTACACAGAAGGCCAAGACTTAAGTTTTACAAGTGAAATCAAACACAGAATTATTACAAGGAATGATCTTCCAATTTATTTGAAAACATACAAATACCCTGAAATTCACAAAGACGAAGTTAACAGGCAAATAGCTGAAATGTTAGATCAAGGTATTATATTTTTTTTTTAAAAGCCCATACAATAGTCCTTTGTGGGTTGTTCAGAAGAAATTGGACCAGTCGAATAAGCAAAAGTGGCGGCTTGTCGTGGACTACCGTAAACTTAATAAAGAAACCATTGAAGATCGATTCCCGATCCCAAATATAGATAACGCACCTTCAACATTTCAACGGCTAATGAATAATATTCTTAGTCCCTATACCGGACAATTTTGCATTGTTTACATGGATGACATCCTTATATTTTCCAAGAATATAGAAGAACACGTCAATCATCTAAGCTGTATATTCAGCTGCCTAACTAAGGCAAATTTAAAACTCCAATCAGACAAATGCGAGTTTGCCAAAGAGGAGATTGAATTTCTAGGCCACACCATCAATTCAGAAGGTCTAAAGCCAAGTCAGAAAAAAGTCGACGCAATACGTAAGATAAAGATACCAACAAACCAGAAACAAATTAAAAGTTTTCTAGGTATCACAGGTTATTTGAGGCGCTACATAAAAGACTACTCCAAAATTGCCCAGCCCTTAATAAAGTACTTAAAGAAAAATTCTAAAATAAACACACATGATCAAGACTACATAGAAGCTTTTCAAAAACTGAAAATATTAATAACAAGCGACCCTATAGTCGTGTACCCAGATTTTAATGAACAATTTACGATAGTTACAGACGCAAGTAATTATGCACTGGGCGCCGTGCTCATGCAAGGCAATAAAGTAATTTCTTATGCCAGCCGTTCGCTAAAAATTCACGAACTCAATTACAGTACAATAGAAAAGGAGCTTCTAGCCATTTATTGGGCAACAAAATACTTTAAATATTATATTTACGGAAGAAAGTTTATTATTAAAACCGACCATAGGCCCCTAGTTTGGCTTAATAATCTAAAGGAACCCAACCTCAAGCTGCAACGCTGGAAAGTGCAAGTAAATGAGTTTGATTTTGACATAACATTTATAAAAGGCAAGGAGAACGCTCTAGCAGACGGACTTAGCAGAATCGTAGAAGAATCAACAGAAGAGTATGACAAAAATGTCCAAACTAAATTAGAGATAAATAACTTAGATATATTTATGATAGAGAACTATAACAGCTTACCAGAAGTTACACTTAAGTCGAAAACTAAAAATGAAGATTTCTCGAAAGATTTAAATTATATATTTACAATCGAAATTGACGGTTCGGAAACAGTTCATAGTGCGGATTCAGACGATCTGAGCTTCATTAGTATTACAACTAATTGTTTAAACGTTTTTAAAATCCAAATACAAATTCTAGAGGCGGAAACCGATTCAAGTACTTTCAAAATTTTGCATAACAAGAAAATAAGACATATTTTTAAAACAAGCGGAAATGAGGAAAATATTCTTAAGTTCATGCAAGAGAAATTGCCTGAAAAAGGCTTAGTTGTAATATTCTGTGAAAATTTAAGTTTATTTGTAAAATTTCAAGAAATTTATAGACAGTATTTTTCAAGCAATAAAAATTTAAGAATTCTTAAGTCAAGTATACTATTGGAAGACATAAATGATAAAGAAAGACTTTTGAAGATTATCGAAAACGAACAGATAAAAAATAATCACAGAGGCATTAATGAAATTTTTGTATCTATAAGAGAAAAATACTACTATCCAAAAATTCAAAAAGTTATTCAAAATTATGTTAACAATTGTAAAATTTGTAATTTAGCCAAATATGATAGGGAACCTATAAAATATAATTTGAATATTACAGAAACGCCAGATAAAATAAACGATATAATTCATATAGACATTTGGTATCCTAAAAAAAATATTATGTACGTCACATCAATTGACAAAATGTCTAAATATGCAACCGCTCAACATATTAAAGATAGATCTTGGATTTCTTTGCTTAACGCAATAAAGTTAAGAATCCAATACTTAGGAAAGCCGAAGAAAATTGTAACTGATAACGAATTCGACATTGTTGTAATTAAGCAATTTCTCCTGGAAAATAACATAGATGTGCACTTTACAACTCAGTATAAGAAAACCGGAAACTCTGACGTGGAAAGATTACATTTAACTCTCAATGAACATATGGGATTGTATAACGCTGATCCAAATAATACTGACACTGTTCAAGAAAATGTTTACAAAGCTGTTGTTTGTTATAATAATACAATTCATTCATCTACAAACACTAGACCAATAGATTTATTCAATTATATACTTTGTAACGAAGAAATCTCCAAATTATCGAAAAAAATGTTGAGAAATAAACAGATATTAAATGAGAAACAAGATAACATAAGTGAGAAAGACTTTGCAAATATATTTGTTAAAAATAACCAAGTAGGAAAATCACTGCGTTGCAAACTTCTGACTGAAATTATAATACCCTGCAAGGGTATAAAAATATTTGGCTTAGTTATGATCGATTGCAAACTCCAAACTCCGTTTTTCGATTCTTTTTAAGGGGCTAATAGTTATGATTCATGATTCCCCTTAGAAATATTTTATAACCCACTCAATTTTACATTACTTCCGACGATTTCTTGTAATTTTACACCCTTACAACTCTAGTTTTAACCGCCCAAAAGTATGCCTTGAACCAGGAAGACCATCTCCAAGCTTGACTCTCTCTTGGGCTATGCAAAATTCAAGGTTCAAGGTAGAGCTTTCTTTCTTTCCACTTTCTCAACGCCGACGTTCTGCACGCTCTTGAACAGTTGACCGGGGCTTAAAAGCAGACCTCCGCGGAGGTTCAACGTTTTAGCAGCGGTACCAAAACTCAACTCACCAGCGGTTTCAGGAGAGTCCAAACCACAAAGACAGGAAAATCGCAGCGGATATCAGAAATCCAGAACCTTGAATGGAAACCGCACGCGCGCGAATTAATAAACATTTTAGCAGCGGTACCAAAACTCAACTCACCAGCGGTTTCAGGAGAGTCCAAACCACAAAGACGGGAAAATCGCAGCGGATATCAGAAATCCAGAACCTTGAATGGAAACCGCACGCGCGCGAATTAATAAACATTTTAGCAGCGGTACCAAAACTCAACTCACCAGCGGTTTCAGGAGAGTCCAAACCACAAAGACGGGAAAATCGCAGCGGATATCAGAAATCCAGAAGAATCACAGCGACGAATCCGTGTAAACTATTTATATTTATTTTTTTTAACGATCGCGTTGTTCTCGTTTTTAGTGACCGTCCTCTTTGTTTTTACAAAATCCCTTAATCTACGATCAGTCTCTTATCGATAGCTTTACAATAGCTGGTCACACTAAGGCGCGCAACCTTAAAAATTAGGGGTTTACAAACGCTTGTTTTTATTTTAATTGACTGTTTTTAGATATGTTATAATTTGCCCATTCACTTGGCTATTTTTAAAGATTCTATGATTCCTATGATTTCTTTGCGGACTGCGCCTCTCACCGTTCGCCCACCAGAGATGACAGCTTTTCAAGTACCTTAGTATTTATTATAAAATATCGAAAAAATACCGAACATATGAATTGATGAAATCTTTTGCTAAATACGATGAAATCTTTGGATGATCACCATGAAATATTTCGATGAGTACCATGAGGCACACTCACGATTCCCTCCATGGAGCAGTGTCACTGCAACAGGTACTGTGGTCCTGCAACTCAAGAAGCTTGGCATCGACGATCTGGTGCACTTTGACTTCATGGATCCCCCGGCTCCGGAGACTCTGATGCGAGCCCTCGAGCTACTCAACTATCTGGCTGCCCTGGACGATGACGGCAATCTGACGGACCTCGGCGCCGTCATGTCGGAGTTCCCATTGGATCCGCAGTTGGCCAAAATACTGATTGCTAGCTGCCAGCACAACTGCTCCAACGAGATACTTTCCATAACGGCCATGCTGTCGGGTGAGAAACGAAAATCACATAAAAACTTCTGTCTTTAGTATGGGATTCAAGAAAAGCAAGGAACTCGTTACCTTTAGCGTAGAGATTGCTTTCCTTTGTATTTAAAGAAAGCCTTTTTAACCGGCTACCACTTGTGGCTGCAATGTTCCAAAGCAATTGAGTAGAAGTGAACAAGGAGTAGATTTCTATACCCTTGCAGGGTATTAAATTATCATTAGGAAGCTAGTTAATGCAGTGAAAGAGTCGTTTCTTGAACAGCACAAGCAGTCGAATCGATCTAGCACGGCAGCTTAATTTTCATTCATTTTCATTCAAATTTTAAAGTAATTTTTTAAATTTTAAATGAAGTATGCAGTTTTTTAAGCCTATTTAAAACCTACATAGAAAAGTTGACTGATCTAAAATACATTTTTTGATTTTATACTTTGATTTTCCCAAAAATGATCATATAAAAAGTTTGATTAATATCCATTTAAAGAATTTAAATATTTCCAGTCTACTTAAGGGGTTATCCGGGTTTTGAAGCACCTAAAATGTCCTATTTTCCAGAATTTTTTTATAAGATCCTATGACAATATTGCAAATTTCATTTATTCTACATTAATGTATAAGGTTTGAACTACATTGTGTAAAAATTTGAACAAAAAATATTACAAAATGAGCCATTGAGGCAGGTTTGAACTTAACCCCACAAAAAATTATGTCCTTGCGGTAGGCAGGATATCTCTGTCAATGTTTATAGGAAATCAAAAAATCAAAGTTTTTCTGTTAGTGTATGTGTCCGGCTTGCCTTTGAACGAAGGATTTTTTTTTTTAATTTAAAAATTGAATTTTTGGTAGCGTTTTTTATAAAAAGTGTCATATTTTACGTCATTTTTGGCCATATTTTGGCTTATAAAATTAGTTGTAATTGAAGTTAAAAAAATTCTTCGTTCAACGACAACAAAAACATGTCTAGAAGAAGTGTGCAAAAGCAGAAGTCGATCGGTGCAATAGTTTTTGAGAAATCGTGACCACCGACTTCAAAAAAGTGGTTTCGAGAAAAACGACGCAAAAGTTCGAATTGCCAGTTGGGCTTTAAATTTCTCCCATTCCTACAGTTTTGCTTCGATCGACTTGAAATTTTCGGACAACATTCCTGACACTTTGTACTATTATATAAAAAAGTTTGAAATAATTGCATTTTTTTAAGTTTCAAAACCCGAATAACTCCTTAAAGAGTTTTATTATTTTTAGCTATTTCATTTCCGACCGTATACTTTATTTAATTTAATTTAATTAAGCCATTTTTGGTCTATGTAAAATTTTTTCAGTGTTTTATAAGGGGTTACATCGTTAAAATGTATACTTTTTTTTTCTTTTTTCAATTACAATTAAAAATACTTCAAAATACTAGCTTTACTGACTAATTTATATCAAAGTTGCCTCCTAAAACTCAACTCCAGCTTTTGGCATTTTTAGGCCTCAACAAGTGGCAGCCATGAATTTGTTAGTTAAAATTGAAAATTGAATAATAGACAGATCTCAGTAAATCCTAAGTAAAACCAATGCAAAGAAAAAAGTTTATTCAATTTATTTGTTCTTTGCATTTAACTCGAAAAGCTAAGTTGCACATGCGTTAAAGTCCCCTTCCGCCTTTTGGCCATCGTTCGATTGGAATGATGAGAGGGCACAAGTCTCTTGTCTTGTAAAATCGTTAAATGAATACATACATATTCGCCGTAAGCAATCGCAACGCACTTGCAACTCACAAATGCAACCAAACTTTGAATTAAGCCTCTAGATTGCCTAGCTGACGAACAGTAAGCACAATCTAATTGTTTATGTAAAAAATGTTTTGAACTTGTGCTTAATCGAAAACCAAACCAATTCAAACGTGCCAAAGTGCCACAATGCTTCGTGCGTCCCAACGAGGCCAAGAAGGCAGCCGACGAGGCCAAAATGCGGTTCGCTCACATTGACGGGGATCACTTGACCTTGCTGAATGTCTATCACGCCTTCAAGCAGAGTGAGTAGAGAATTATATACATACAAAAAAAGCGAAAGGCCAACAAACTTTCAACCGAAACTTCAGGCAGCGAGGATCCCAACTGGTGCTACGAAAACTTCATCAACTTTCGGTCGCTGAAGAGCGCAGACAATGTGCGCCAGCAGCTGGCCAGGATCATGGACCGATTCAGCCTGCGGCGCACCAGCACCGAGTTCACCTCCAAGGACTACTATGTGAACATTCGCAAGGCCCTCGTCCAGGGCTTCTTCATGCAGGTAGCTCACCTGGAGCGCACCGGCCACTACTTGACCATCAAGGACAACCAGAACGTGCAGCTGCATCCGTCAACGTGCCTGGATCACAAGCCCGACTGGGTCATCTACAACGAGTTTGTCCTGACGACCAAGAACTACATTCGCACGGTGACGGACGTGAAGCGTGAGTACCCACCCATTCATGCTAACCCAAACACTCGCCTGAAACTAACTTGATTTCCCTTAGCCGAGTGGTTGCTCAGCCTGGCCCCGCAGTACTACGATCTGAACAACTTTCCGCAGTGCGAGGCGAAGCGTCAACTGGAGCTGCTGCAGCAGCGGATGGAGACCAAGCAGTACCAGAAGGGTTTCTAGGTGTAAGCGCAGATGAGGGGGACACTGGATACACGTAACGTAAAGAATGGGGAACGCATCGTTTTGCTTTTTATTGTTTGCTAAATTTAAACTGAAGCACACGAACAGACTCTTAACCAGATCATTAATATCCAGAAACTCCGTTTAGTGAATAGTGTTAATAAATGAAACCACTTTTTATATTCATCTCAGCCATTGGTCCTTTGGAACTGAATGAGTATGACCAGGTAGGTGGCTATGGCCGAGGCGAACTGAAAGAGCAAGGAATCTTTATACTTGACTTGGCTAGGATAGTCCCAGTGGTATGTTACCGAGGTCAGTATGGTGCGATTGACGCGGCACAGGCCGCAGGCAGAGAAATCGGCATCTACCACCAACAATTGCTGCCAGAACTTCTTCACCGCCTCGGCCAGTATGGGCTCATGCACCTTCCTCTCGATCTCGCACACAATCTGTATGGTCTTGCGCGACTCTCGGGCAGCCAGGTGGCACGGCTCCACCACCATGAGCAAGCGAAGAAAGTGAAAGCATATCCAGAGCATCTGCACCCACAGGTAGCCGTTGTCCCGCTTACTGAGCAGCTCCAGGAACAGGAAATAGGCAGTGGCCACCAGATGCAGCAGGCAGGACACCATAATGAAGAGCACCGCCACGCCAAAGGAGCTGCGAATGGATACAAATTCGGGTTAGCAAGCAGGGTCAAGTGAGAACAGCGGCAAATCCCACTTGGATAGAAGCAGCACACACTTGCCAAGCGACTCGTGACTGTCGGCCATGGCCTTGAGCAGAAGCCCCTTGTTCTTGGCTGGAAAAGGGACCAGTTTGAGTAACTCCACGTTGAGGATAAGACTGCGGCTGTCACCTGTCGATTCGCTAGGCAGGGTCTCGCTGTTAAGCTTGGTTAGACTCGCGTGCAGCGCCGTGGGCATCGCCGGAGGTTTCATGCTGATGGTCTTCACCGCGTTCACCTTGAGCGGATTGGATGAAGCGCATTCCTTGTGGTCTGCGGGAAACTGGCAAGTAAGCATAGGTATTAAGAGTGATTCGAATCCATTTACCCCCCAAAAAGCTGCTGTCGAGCATGCGGTTCAAACGTGCAAAGCGCCTGCCCAGGCCATAGGCGGTGTTCGCAAAGTTTATTTGCAGGCCCGTGAGGATGAAATAGAGGCCGTAAAAGGGGATGTACCAATGTACATTGAGCTCTGTACGAAAAAGAACCACAAAAATGATTAAATTCAATTTCTACAAACGAGGTATCGTAACAATAATAGTTTTTGTAATACAAATTATAAAAGCAGAGTTATTTTCTTAATTGAAATTAAATTCTAATTACCCGTGTCCGACTGCGCAATGTTCATATCCTGGGCAATGCGCATCCAGGTTCCCACATCCAGGCCCACCAACAGGGCTATGGCCACCAGAGAGACTGCGGCCATGCCCAGGGCCCGCAACCGGTCCCGCCTGAAGTTGTTGTAGGCATTCAGCGTGTTGTCGATCTGAAAAACACGAAGGGATACAAATTGATGTATCAGAGGGAGGGCGACCCGAAGGAGTGGGACTGTGACCTCACCTTAGTGAGACGTGCATTCAGCTCGAGCGTGTCGTTTAGGCTGAAGAGCCCACAGTAAACACCCGATACGATGGCCATGACCACTACAGACACATCCAGGGCCGTTACCACCTTCGACGTAGCCGATTTCATTCTAAAAGATGCACTTTTGATTTGTTGGTTGGTTGTTTGGCAGTTGGTTTGAGCAATTAATTGGGCAAGATCAAATGTGATTGGAAGGGAGCAAAGGTGACAATTAGATAGAAAAAGATTGAGATAGGTAAGTATACATACAGTGGTGTCACAACAATAGTATTGCCTGTCAAAGTTGATATGAGACTGGCCTGTCAAGATAAGCATTTAATGGGTAATAAGACAAGAATCTAGCTTCGGTTACCAGCTCGATTTTGTTCATTTTGAGACTCGACTATCAGACTCAGATTGCAAATATTACGTTTTTACGGTGAACAAAAAGACAATTAAAACTCTTAAAATGTTTGTAGGTGCACTTTGAAATTTTATAAGCCGCGAGCGTAACGGATGTCTCGCTAAATGCTCGTAAACAGGCTCAGAAAAGATAGTTTGCTTAGTAAAAACCGAATATTTTGGTCATATGAATAGTAACAGACTGTCGATGCATTAATTAATGTATAAACTTGACAGCCAATCTACCGTGGCACTGTAAGATAATGATAGTGCTAGTGTTTTTGTATCCAGGTGCACGTGAAACAAATACGACAAATAAAAAAAACAAATTAATAAAATAAAAATACATAGAGACATGAAAATTTAAACACAAAAACAAAAAGTAAGGCAGGGTACTTACCGGACGGGTATTTCCGAGTTTGCATCGAACAGCAGCCCCCGATAGGTGAGGCAAACTGAAGAGAGTTGAATATCAGTCCGAGGACTCTCCACTGCAAGCCCACCCACACTCACCCATTACCACTGTCAAGGTGGCTGAGTAGATAGTGTATATCCAGCTGCGACGGATTTCCACCTGGCCCTTGGAGTTCCGACTGGCGGCATAGGGGGCCAGAGCCAGCACTTTGCTGATGTAGAAAATGCCGATGCTGGGCTCTGAAATTTCCATCTTGGCGTTGACAGGACAAGCTGCTGGCAGGAACTGCTCTCGAGTGCCCGAATACACGAACTTAAATTGCAAAATTCCATATTCGATACCAAACAAATAATACGCTCCCATATTTGTCTATTATTAGTGGCTAGTCACCAGCCAGCACCCACCCCACCGCTGTGTCGGCGGGACATTCGCAGTCCGTCTGGGCAAATACCCCACTTCCGGCCCGAGTGGGTAACACATTTACTTATCAAAAACGTGCCTGGCTGCCGCGATGTAAATAATAATTAGCGTGTGAAAATACCAAGCCGGTAAGGACACAGGAGCCAATTATTTTTTGGGGACAGAGTTGACAGCTGCAGCAGCAGCTGCGACATGTCTATATGCGGGAATAAGGATACTGCCATTGTGGCACATTCTCTTTCTTATTTATTTTAGCGACTCCTTTGGAGATTCCACTCTACAGCTCAAATGTGTTGCAGGCAATTAAGGAACAGTGATGGACACACGTGTAATACAAAATAAAAATTCACTGCCAGCGAGCAGAGGTCTACACAGAGTGGGCGTTGAAGATCTCAATCCAGTAACCGTCGGGATCCTTAATGAAGGCCAAGCCCTTCATGCGACCGTCATCGGGCTTCTTAACAAAGTCGACGCCTAGCTCCTGGAATCTGTGGGAAGGGATAAGGGTCGATAGATTATAAATGAATGCAATTGCAAGGACGTATTTCTTACCGCTGACAGGCAGCATAGACATCGGGAACCATGAGTCCAATGTGTCCGAAACCACGAGGGTCGTTGTTGCCGGTGTGGTAGCTCTGATCTGGGTCGCTTTCAGTTCCCCAGTTGCTAAGATGAAAATATAGAATAAGTGAACGTTTTATCGTTAACCAGAAAGGATGAACTGTCGATTTAAAATATATAATTGCATTTTTCCACCAAGAACTTAAGGCTATTCTGATAATTTGCGTTTTGACTCTTACTGAACCTTGCAATACTATACTGGATTCAAAGTTTTCAAATTAGAAATTTGTAAATGATTCAAGTATATATGCAAGTTCCGATGCAAATACCTAATGAAAGCCTGCTTGAGAAGTATGCACTTACTGGGTCAGCTCAACCGTGGCCTTGCGGCTCATCGCCCAGCTGCGTCGCTCCTTAGGATCCTTGGGCACATCGGCGGGGTTCTCGTATCTGCAGGGAGATGCAAACGCAATTGTTATCACCGAACCATACGCACGTACTTAGATAAGCCGCAGCCACTTAACCTTACCCCATAAAGTACAGGGAGAACTTGGCCTCGGGAAAGTCCAGTTTCACCAGCAAGGTCATTCCTAGGACCCCCGTGTAAAAGGGCAGGGACCGACGCGGATCCTTTATGCGATACATCGTTTGCTGGAACAGAAAGTCCTGGAACGACAGCGTGTTATTTGCTAGTTTTAGGTGGCCATATGTATGTAACTACTGGGTTCGGGGACTTGCCTTGGTGGCCGCCTCCGGCTTTTTGCACAGCTCGTCGGCTTCGGCATTGCTGAGTCCTGTAACGTCGCCCATATCGAGGTATTTATCCAATTAATCACCACCTGTTGATGTTAATTGTACAATAATAATCTAGACAGCCGCGACCAGGGCTGAAAACTATTCGTTTATCTATATTTTCCGCAAGAAATATATTTAATCGGTATTTGGCATATCGATAATAAAAACCTATCGACCAACTACAAAAAGCTGTCTTTAGGCGGGGAATCGATTTTTAAATTAATGAAGGGGCTTTTACTTCGCTTATAGTTACTGTACTTATAAGAATAAAAGTTTTCTCAGGCAGATATAATCCCCAAATAGAATTATTTTTCGACTCCGAGAACCCAAAGTCGAGGGTATTTCATGGGTTTTGTGGGAAATAACCCATGAAAAAGTTAGAAAACACCTGTTAAATTGTTTAGATTTATTTGTTGACTGTTTGATGGTCGGTATTAGAACTAATTCAACTGAAAGTAATATTTATATGTTTGTATATAAAGTCGTGTACATGCTTGTTTGTATATAATATATATATATATATATTTATATATTTGTTTTCTTACCAATTAGACTAAGTTAGTCGCTTGATTTCATTGTGATCTTAGGCATTTCGGATTCCATTTAGAATTAGTTATACAATTATTTCTAGATTCTTTGCATATGTATATTGTGCTTATGATTATCTGAATCAATTTGTTGTTTTCCTTTAGTTTCTGTTGATTTTTTTGTAATAATTGGTGTTTTGGTGTTCCTATTTGATGCTCAATAGTAGTAGTAATGCCCCAAACAATACCTCATGGTCTGCAAAACAATTTATTCCTAGACATATTCTCATGTTCAAAAAATAATTGGTGTCATCTCCGCTTGCTTCTGACTGTCTCTCTCAGATATTGGTCGTTTTTCTCGTGGATGGTACTTTATAAATACAATTCATTGTTGGCTTTCCAAATGAAATAGTGTTAATCTTAGTAAGTGTGTGCCTGGACTTTCGTGCACGCTCATACAAATGGAAGGAGCCGTGTTCTTCTGTGAGTTAACAAATTACGTAGTGTCCATAGATACCCATCTTGTTTTTATAATGGCTTTGCTGTGACCAACTCAACGGGGTGGGAAGCATAAAAGCAGGCGTTTTCATTCGTTTCACATTTATTTCAGTTTCTCGTTGCTTTTAACTATTGCAAGCGCATAACAAATAATAATAAAATATTTTAAAAATTAATTAAAAAACTACAAATAAATTCAAATAAAACATGGGGTAAAACCTAAATGTCTTCATATCGCACAAGTAGGTAACTCAAATGGATGAGAGACTTGGCTAACAAGCTAATTTATCAAAGGCGAACAATCAGTTAGTAATTATGTTAGCGTAACAATAATAAAGAACAAAAATATTGAATACAAAGTATGAGCGAAATAAGGCGAACCGAAATAAGAGCTCATTTGCAAAGTTATTTTCGCGCTTTTGGTATCTGAATAATTTAAATGATTTCCGGCTTAGAGTAAAATGCGTAATTAATGGCAAAAATCCGCTGTGGTTATTCAATGATATTTGTTTTTTGTTGTATCTTAAAATTCATGTTTAATATTTGCAGAATTGGCATTAAAAACTAAATAATTTCCGTAGTTGCATCACCTACTTCGTTTGCTTCTGCTTCTGCTATTTTTATTCATTGTTGATGCTATATGTATTGCGTGCGATCTGCTTTAGGACTTTTAACAAGTTTCACATAACCTTTGAATTTGTATTTAAAATTAGTTTACATTGAATATGTATTGGCAGAAATTAGGTCGTGATATCCTTTCTTGTTTGTATTCAGTGTTCTCCTGCACATTTGGAAGGTTTAAAATTAATGATTAAAATTAATTAATGTATGCTCGGTATATCGTGACGTACAACTAATAATTTATTTATAAAAATTTCACTAGCAAGTAAATTCACCCCTCAATAATTACAACTTAATTACACGCATATAGACAGAATATCAATAATTGTTGTTACTGTTCGATTTGTGAAATTATTGAATTTTATCAAACTCGCCCACCTAATCGTCCTCATCTTCAGACGAGTTTGAGGACAACTGCAGATCGTTTTGCAGCAAGTCGTTTGGAAAGCCACCGTTGGATGCATAAATGCCGGACTGTTGCTTCTGCTGTTGTTGCTGCTGCTGCTGTTGCCTAGGATGATGCGATGGCTGCTGCTGCTGCTGATGACTATTGCTGTAAGTTGGTGATATGGAGCCTAGGCCCAGGTTGGGCAGCTGGTTTAGGTGCTGCTGCTGTTGCATTTGCATAGCTTGCTGCTGCTGCTGTGGCTGCTGCCTGTCATCATCAGTGCTGTCATCGGAGTCACTGCCGCTCTCACTGTCGCTAGAGTCCGATTCCGAGCTGGAGCTGGAGGCACTCAATGCGCCGCCAATTTGCTGCAAACCAAATACATAGCTCAGCACAGTCCCGATCGGAACGAGTGGTGTAACCTACCTGTTCCAGAGCAGCAGCTGCTTGGGCCACTGTTTGCGAGGTCAGATCATGCTCTCTGGCTGCGTCAAAGTCCATTGGCATGCTGTTGCCATGGCCAAGGGCCGAAGCACGCTGCTGTTGCTGCTGATGGTGTTGGTGTTGGTGTTGCTGCTGTGGAGAATGGCGTTGTGGTTGCTGCTGCTGGTGCTGCTGTTGATGCTGCTGCTGCTGATGTTGTGCGTATTGGTTGTTGCTGTTGTTGTACCCGCGACCGTAGCTGGAGGGCTGCTGGTGCTGCTGCTGTGCCATTGGCGGACTGGAGCGCTGATGCATCTGCTGGCGCTTGGCTTGGCTATGCTGAGGAGCCTGTCGCTGCTTGGACGACATGGACCCGTACTCGGATTGACCCCCCACCGAGCCAGTCGATGAGCCCGAGGTATTGGCCTGTCCGCCGTTATGGAGGGCAGCCCTCAACCCAAAGTCATCGTCGTCCGTGATCATAGGGATGCTGGGCAATGTCTGCTGAGCATTATTTGCATCCCAACTGAAAAGAAACAGTGGATTTAATTCCTTCGCCGCGCTGCTGGAGGGTATAAACCTACGCTGGGGCGGATTGGGGGCTGCGATGGATGGCCACTGGACGCGATGGTGAGCTCTGCTGCATGGGCGAATTGCGCGGCTTGAAGTCAACTGAAATTGTCGTAAAATTATCATTAGTTACACATAATTCTTCACCACCAACCAAAGGTCATTATTAAAATTGAAATATTGATATTTTCCTTGCCTTAATCGCTGCCCTTACTCACTTATATTATTCCGGCGACTACCCGTTGAAACCTTTGTCTTTGATGTTATCCGCATTGTGCTGTTCTCCAATTTACTAGCCGACCCGGTTCCATGCCCAGAAGCTGCCATATTCGGGACCATTCCAGCACCGTTGGTTCCCTGACCCTGGGCTGGATTCGGACCCTGGCCCTGGGCCACATTCATGGTCGCATTCTGAACTGGCAGAAGAACTGGCTTGTTCGTAACCTCGCTCCTGAAAAAAAATGAAAAAGCTACTCGCTGCTTGGGGATCCCAATTGTACCGCACTCACCTGGTCTTCTTCACCTGTATGTTGTGATTCAGCTTCTCTATTGTGATAGCACCCGTCTCCTTGTCGTAGATCATCAAGCACTCCTTGGCATACTCTCTCTGATTACCCTTATAAACTGTATGAGGCACACCGGAACTTTCTGCAAGGGAAGCACAATCGAGTTGGCATTAGTCATCCAAAATTGTAGAATTCCTGAAAAACTGGTTAGCTGAGAGTTCAGTCACAGCAAGCACGTGTTCCTTAAAAATGCAGCCATAACAGAGATGTATTTGTTTTAGGAGCTGATAATTTGCTATAATTTCTAAAGCTATGGTAAGGTCAGAAGTTATACAATTCAATTGATTGATTGCTCATGATGTTAAAGAACTCTCATAAATCCATTTTAATATCATGCGATTTTTATACCCTTGCAGGGTATTATAATTTCAGTCAGAAGTTTGCAACGCAGTGAAGGAGACGTTTCCGACCCTATAAAGTATATATATTCTTGATCAGCATCAACAGCCGAGTCGATCTAGCCATGTCCGTCTGTCCGTCCGTCTGTCCGTTTCTACGCAAACTAGTCCCTCAGTTTTAAAGCTATCTGAATGAAACTTTGCATATAGTCTTCTATATACTCTCACTGCTATATATGTCGGAACAGGCCGGATCGGACAACTATATCATATAGCTGCCATACAAATGTTCGATAAATTTTTAGAAAAAAAATTATAACTTGGCTGTTTTTCAACATTTTTGCACCATTTTTTAGATATGGCCATTGTATATTATTTCAGAATTTCAATAAAAATTTCATGAAAATCGGACGACTATATCTTATAGCTGCCATAGGAACGATCGGGAAATTAATAGAAAAAACATTATAACTTCGTTGTTTTTCAACCTATTTTTATCTACTCTGAGTTATAAGCTTATTTTATTAGTTCAGAATTTTGGTATAAATTTCATGAAAATCGGACGACTATATCTTATAGCTGCCATAGGAACGATCGGGAAATTAATAGAAAAAACATTATAACTTCGTTGTTTTTCAACCTATTTTTATCTACTCTGAGATATAAGCTTATATTATTAGTTCAGAACTTTGGTATAAATTTTATGAAAATCGGACAACTATATGATATAGCTGCCATCGGTAGATGTAGAGAAAATGTAAAACTGGGAATGTAAAACTGTAACTGTCAAACTCTAAACAATAAGTATAGGTAAAATTTAATGAAATAATATCTGCAAGGGTATACAAACTTCGGCGTGCCGAAGTTAGCTTCCTTTCTTGTTCATTATTATTTAAATGGTTCCGTTTTACAATGCTGAATCTAGTATTCCTATATTGCCCATCTCTTATAAAGTTAGCTTTTAATCCCTTGTTTCCTCAAATATGAAGAAGTAATCAGTTTGAATATTTTGTACTATGTTTAAACTCCTTTTTTCCCCCATTAATTTCATGAATTCGGTGTCGAAATTTGTTTAAAAACGAGCCTATTAAATATTTAATCAAATCAAAAGCAAAAGCCCAAAGGCCCATATTTGTGGTACGTTTTAAGGATTCTGCAAAACAGCAAAGGGGTAGTTACATGAAGATGAATAAATGTTACGGGGTCAAGTTACTGTGAAGAATTACCGGAAAATACATGCAGATTGGAATAAATTGATTTTAGATCAAAATTGGCATGTCTAATAGGAACATTCATGCCAGAACCCTGCCTTCAAAGCTTCATTTCCCTTAGAAATGAAGACACTGATGTATATACAGCTAACTGCAGCAATTTTCGGTGAGCTTATATCGGCCCACCTTAGTGCTTCTTACAAATTTTTGAAAATCTTACAGCTGTGGTTCTCTTCGATACCACGACTCAAGTAACCCTCCTTCTCAATGTATTGAGACCCGTGGAAGACGTACTTACAGGGGTGCTTTCATCGCATCTGGGGAAGTCGTACGGAATACAACAAATCCAGACGGCCGTAGATATCTACCTGAAAGCTAAACAAGTAAATGGAGAAATATCGAAAGAAGACGCGTACGTGGTAGGCGAGGTGCTGAGACTCTGCCAACAGGATAGATCATTATTCGATATCCTGAGCCACACGAACAGGTGCACGCTTACGGACATCCAAGAGGCTTTGCATTTGATAGCCGCAAAGTTAGGCAAACCGGCATTTTATCAAGTAATTGAAAACTAGCATGATGAATATAACAAATATACATCAGGCTATACCCCGGGAGCCAAAAATAAGAATAAACTTAAATTGACACCAAATATAAGTTAAAATAAACTTTACAATTCTAAAATGTTTTTAATTTAATCAAAATAGGACTACAGCATAGCTGCCATTAAAATAGTGGTTTATTTGTCTGAGAGCCAAGGAAAACTAGCAGTTCAGCATTTAAACAACAGAATGGCATTATCTTATAGCTGCCATAGGAACAATCGGTAGATGTAGAGGAAATGTAAAGCTGAGAATCTAAAACAGTAGCGTGGCGAAGTTAGCTTCCTTTCTAGTTAAAAATACTTTATACTTTACTTTATAACTGCAAATAAAATTAAAATTGCTAAGTCTTAAGCGGTCTTCAGGATAATTAATATGTAATATATATATAAATGTTACTGTTTTCTAAATGGCTTGATTAATTGCAGTCATGGTTATGGCTTATATTGTAAATAATAATTTATCTGCATATAATCGAGAGGTCGAACGGAATGTTTGGCTGCGGCTGCGACGCTTAACTGAAAACTAGTCCAGTTGTGCATTCGGCTGCACCCGTTCGATTCGGAAACGGACTGAGATAGGGAGAGATCGGGCAGTTACCGCACCACTTCCAGACCCACACTTGACCAAATGCCACTGTTATTGTCGTCGCCAGCGCCAAACTCTTTGGCGACTCGTCGCTCGCAATCAGCGGAGCGTTACACAAGGCAAGTCGGCCGCAATGAGGTCCAAACAACAGCAACCACAGCCGACAGCCCACAGACGAGTCTGGCCACAAAGAGCGTAGCGAAATAATACGAGTATGAAAAAGCGAGGAAAAAAACTTGAACGCTTGGCTGCATTTTGCCTGACTTGATGTAATTTGGTTTCATTCCGTCGCTGGCGTCCCCTCTCCACTTCTCGCCGCGCGTCTGTGGCCTTTGTTCAAACGAACTAAGACACAGGGCTGGCTATCCATTAATTTGTATCTAAGAGCTGACTCTGCCACTGCCTCCTAGCATATAAATGCAGTCAAATTATGTCATCAAACAGCCACTAGGGCTGATCAAGTCGCTTTAGAGAATTGGAATCGACTACTATTTCAGTTAATTTTTTTATAACTTTGTGTGAGACCCTTTAACTAGTCGTATCAAAACGAAAAAAGAAAGTATAAAATTCCCAAATATATACTTTAAAAGGTTTCTTGCAAAAAATATGTATCTAATCATCTGACAGACAATTGCCTTCACGGAGTTCATTTTCCCAACTTAAAGGCAAAATCGATTGGTTTTCCTTTCATTTAAATACAATATTAGGTTGCGTGCTCGAGGAAAGACAATAATTTTCCCGATTTCCCATTTCATTAGCCTGTGTCTAATAAAACATGGTTGGATCAAGATTTTTTGCTTTGGGCCTGCGAGACTACAACTAATTTTGTTGTGCATAAATTGAAATCGGATTACACAACTTTAACATAGCCTGCCGCAGAAAAATAAAATAAAACAAAACACAAGCCCTATTAAATGCACTATAATCTTATAATTTTTGTTGGAATTTTTTTTAACTTTCTGCGGTATTTGATTTTCTATCAAATAATAATAATATTTAGAAAAATATGTTGAAGAGTTGCTTTGCTTTTAAAAGAACTACATTTTTAATTTATCCAATTACGACCGGGTTTAAAGTCCCTAATAGCAACCTGACCGAACAAGATAAATCTAAGATAAATCCTATAGTTAATCAGAGTTCCGTTAGGAACATAATAGTGATGTAAGGTGGTAGCTCCTATAACACACTCCTCAGAAAACAACTGTAATGGCTTTTCTTTTCAAGTTGGTTACTTGAAATCATCTGTTATTATGCCGAAAAAACTTGAGAGTTCTGAGTAATATTTTATTTGATGGTAGAAACCGTTAACCGTTATTATATGCTTATATAGTATAATTTTTTCAAATTTTAATTAGCCTTTTCTTTTTCCCGTCAGAAAATGTTGTGCTGTTAGCTTTGTGCTGAACCTCGACATAAGCATCCAAACCCGGAAGATAGTATGTATATCTAGCAGCTAATCCGTTGCACTCACCAGAATTTGGCACGATAACAGTAACTTGATTGTTGGAGCCAACGTCCACAGATGCCATGCGGCTGGTATCCACACTCGCTGGCTTGAAGTCATCTGCAACACGAACACATTTGTGGGTCAGTTCTGGCTGGGCATTGGCAGAAGAATGGGGATGGCCAGGCGACACTTACATTTGATGGTATGGAAGGATGTTGAGTTGTTTCTGAAGGTTGAGCCCAGCTTCAATTCCCGTACCTCATCGCCGATATTGAGGCGCTCCGCCAGCGAATTCTTCTGTTTGGTCATCTTCATCGTACTGTTGTTATTGTTGTTGGTGCTGTGGTTGCTCTGAGGCTGATAAGGCAGGTTGGTGGCGCTTTTTGGGTGGTTATAGTTGTTGTTGTTGTGGTTGTAATTGGCACTGGTGTGGTTTGACTTTTGATAATTGTTGTTATTGTTGCTGCTGCTGCTGCTGCTATATTGATATGACTTCTCGGCCACGTCCGCCAGCGCCGTCGTCGCAGCAAAGTTACGCTCCTCGGCAGCGCCACCGCGTTGATAATCGTAGCCGCCTTGTGTCCCGAAACTTTTCTCGCCGCCCTCACTGCTCCTGTTGCTGCCGCCGGACTTGCGATAACTGCTGCTGCCGTAGTGTTGACTCGCAGCCGCCTTGGCCTTGAGACGCTGCAGCTTGGTGCCCACGGACTTGGGAATTTTTACGGCCGTACTCGTTCGACGTGCTTCGCGATTTTGGACAGTGGCAAGACTTTTGGCAAAAAGTGTTGCACGCCCAAAGGAAACACGCTCGCGAACGGAGGGAAACTAACGAAAAAAAAAATAATAACAAACGGAGAGGGGGCGGGGCCGGGTGCAGGGTGCTGGGTTGACCTTTGGAGACGTTCCTCTTCTTCCTCAGGGCGGCTGGTGTGTTTCCGTGGTCACATTTGTCATTGGACGTGGTTTTTCGCCTTGGAGTTTTGTAGTTTTCCAACCACTCTCTATGTCATTCTGCCGTTGAGCGGTACCACCGTTTTCTGCAGAGAATGCAAATATTCATTTATCTAGCAGTCCGACTTTTTGCCATATGTTTGCGACACACACACACACATACACACACCACAACGACAGGCACACACACGCTGGCAGAAGTGCTGCGCTTTATAACACTGAACTTGCACCTGCTGCTCTTTGACACACATTCGAGAACTACGCTTTAAGTGCGTTTTTCGCCATTATTCACGCGTATCTACAGAGCCACGGGCGTTATTTTTAGAGAAAAGCATTTCACACGCATACAGGCACACGTGCCCAGGAGCGAGCGAGACGGTCGGAGGGGGCGATTTCTTTATGCAAATTACAGCTGATCCGAGGGAAATACGGGAAATCAGAGGTTGAATGTGCGGAAAATTATGCCAGCTTCTGCCCCTACATTCCGTCTCACTGCAAATTGGCACTAATTTTCATGAAATACGAACGCGAGCGCACACGCACACCGCCACACGTAATACGTAAGCAAATTAAAAAGTGAGCGGCTGCCAACAGAGCTGGGCAGGGGACAGCGGGTGGGGGCGGGGGCGCCGTTTGGGAAAGACACAGCTGAAAACAAGTTTGAAATAGCCGAAAAACAGCAACGCGAAGGTGAAATTTCCGAAAATCGAATTGAAACGTAGACGAAAAACATCCGTCTATATGTGTGTGCAGCAGCAGCACAAGTGTGCGCCCGACGGGTGTGTGCGTGTGCCGCGTTCCCCTCGGCCACAAGCTCGGATTTTCCGTGGCTTTTCCGCCGCACAAACCGAGCTTAAATAGAGTACACTTGGGCTATTGCTTTTACTTGTTGGCTTGTTGCTTTTACAATATTGTCTTACATTTAGGGATGTGTATATAAAAATATCGATGTATCGATATGTTGAAAAATAAATATTTTTGTAACCAGATAATCGAATATCGATATTTTTAAAAATAAATATTGATATTTCCTCGTGAGCGCCGTTTTAAGGCCTGTTCCGTGACGCAAAAATTAAAATATTAGAAAATGTCATGGAGAGCAGAAACAGTAAATTGCTAGAAGCATTTACATTTTTTCGAAATTTGGCAATTATATTTATGTATTTACGAGGAAGAAGGAGTGACTTGGGAAATAGTAAAAATATAAATCAGGAAGCCGCAGGCCATCAAATATAAAATGGCTAATTTATCGCCTTGCCGATCTTTCAAATCTTGATGCATATATCACAGGTCTATACGATGTGCTTAAAATTCGCTTTTGCGGCTTTTGGGCACACTAAAACCTTGAAAACAATCATAACGGTCTGGCAGCGTTGGTCGCTCTTCAATGTAAAGTCTGGCAACGCTGGTTGCCCGTGCGACCAGTGATGGCAAAACTGTTATATAAAGCATAATTAGAAATTCGTTAACGTGTAAGAACATTTTTAGATTTTCTAACAGTTTTTTTTTGAGCCACTGTACATCAAGAACGTTTATGTAAATGAAAACCAGCGAAACGCATTGGTTTGTAATTTTAAGAGTTTGGCTCTTTTCTAACCTTTTTTATAGGGTCTTCCCACACAGCATTAAAGCGCATTTAGCATCCGTTGAACAAATGCTCCATAAGGTTTTGCCGTTCCGAATTTTCCCAAATGGCCCGGCGTTAGTTCAGCATTAGATTTTAATGCTGAACTAACGCCGGTTTGTTTGGCGATAGTTAGGCGATAGTTCTTCGGTGCAACTCTGAAAATTTGACCATTCACCACGAAAATGTAAACAAACTTGGCGAGGAACAAATGAGATATGGAATTTAAAACGTGGCGCCAAAGCTACAAGCATGCCCAAATAGTTGTTGGCGTTTTTTCTGTATATTCTTGCCCCAATATGTCCCCAATTGTTACTATTTAATATAAACCGCCTATCTCTACCTTATTTTAAAGATTTTGGATGCCTATACCACCTATAGACACTCTTCGGGGAATTTGCTCTTTGTTAGAGAAAAATCATTAGAAAAACTAAAATTCCTTGTCATTTAATTCATTTAAATTT